TTTGTTTCACTCTTCACGATTGTGGAAGTAACAGCAGCTATCATTGTCTCCTACTTTACACAGGACAATAGAATAATGGATACAAATTATCAGCACAAATATTGCTTTTATATAATTGTTGTTAAGAGTAGCTGGGACATAATTTTCACATGTGAAAACCAAATCATGAAGAACAGTTTTCTGACAACTAAAAATAACATTTCATGGGTATTATTCTGAAGGAAGTAAAATTAGATATTAAAGAGAATATGTCAATTCTCTAGTCAGATGACAAAAGAATGTTGTTTTTTTCCTATCCACAGATTGGCTTATTGTAGTTGCTTCTCTTTTGGCTCTGGCATTGATTCTTGGTGTTTGCATTGCTGTAAACAGTCGAAGGAGGTAAGAAATGATTTGTAGTTTTCCATTTCTCAGTGCCAAAACTGTCTATTGCTGAAATATTTTTAGGACTGACAATTTTAGAGCATTCAAAAGAGACAGTAGCAATGTCAATGTTATTGGCTCTAAAATTAGTGAAGAAATACTTCATTTGGTGAACTGATCATAACATGCTACTGAGTTTTCCAAAATTTTCAACAAAATTGGATGGGTGGAGGGAGAATATAAAGAGTTTTCTTTTAAAGAAATTGGGATGGATGTATTGAAACATTTTCCCCCCAAAATACATTGGACACATCCCTATCATAGAAAGCCAAAGTTAATTCTTAATTCTCTTTTTAATATGTGAAGCACATATCAATGTTTCTTTAATGTTTGTTATCCTAGCCTGAGAGGTTTTTTTAAACCAAACATTTCAGTTTAATGAAGGGGCATTTGCTTTTTGAGCACTGGTATATGAACTGTGTCATTCTTCGAAATATACAGTTTCATTATAAGCCTGCATCAAATTCCAGGGCTTTATACCAGGCTCCCCCAAAATTTTAATAATTTCAGTTGTCTTCTGTTTCTGCAATATTCAAAATTGGATAACACAAATAAAAGAGAGAGTCGAGTCACAGGTCAGTATTCGCATCTCTGAAAGTTACATGAACCAACCCACAGTATTAACAAAAAGTTTTCAACTGATATATTTGAAAATTTTGATGACATTTTGATATCCCCTTCCTCTTGTTTTTCTTAAGAACCATTGTAATAGACAGTAAGAACTGCTGTTAATAAATGTACATTGCTGCTATTGGGTAAGAACATTTTGGTGAGGAGTGCTGGCAAAAAATATTTGCCCATTCCTTCCAGAACCACGTGGATGAATGAAAAGTTGAAAAGGCATTTGCTTTTTGAGCACAGGTATATGAACCGTGTCATTCTTTGAAATATATGACATGGTGCATTTGAGTTGTGTTTTTAATGTAAATGTAGGCATTACTAGCTGTGGGCTTTCCTTCCTTCCTTCCTTCCTTCCTTCCTTCCTTCCTTCCTTCCTTCCTTCCTTCCTTCCTTCCTTGATCAATTACTTCAATCCATGTGCAACTCGAGATCCATAGACATAGCCTTACCCTTAAGCCATCCAATCTAAGATTATTGGGTCAACTGAGTCAAAGAAACTACCATACGAAGGAAAAGAACCACTGCAGCTGTTCTTCCAGGAATAATTTTTATCTGCCTTTTATCACTTTCTGAAGAATCCAAAGATGTGCTCCATTCAAAATAAGGAATAAGGAACTTCTAACAGTCTATTTTGATAGGCTATGCCTCATTCCAATTATGTCAAAGCACCAGAACCAGAAAAATCTAAAAAGTAAAGATTAATCTGCTGTAATTAAAGTTCTTACCTAAGAAATAAGCAAGGAATGAATGTTTTTAATGTAGTCTGCTGCTCCAGACAAAATGAAGGCAGTATATAACATCTTGTCTTTAAATATTTTGATTTTACAATCTTTTCCTTTTCTGTTAGATGTGGGCAGAAGAAGAAGCTTGTGATTAACAACGGTAAAGGAGGCATAGATGAGAAAAAGAAAGATGGGTTAAATGGAGAAGCTAGCAAATCTCAGGAAATGGTACACTTGGTACACAAAGAGAAGCCAGAAGACCAAAAGGGCTCACATGATGAATTCCAGGCAATCGATGAAACACAGAACCAACAAGATGTGCCCTTGAAGAGTGGCATGTAGGAAGGCTGGCCGATCAATTTGAATCAGAGTTGGGGGAAACAAAAAGCATCATACTGAACTGGGACTAGAACTCAGAAATGCAATGAGCTACTGATATCTTTAAAGCATAATTAAGCATACATTTTCTTGGTTTTTTTTTTTCTTTTGTAATGGTCAGCTACAAAAAATAACATGTCATTTTTGGTTTTGTCCAACATTGCATCATTTTGCCCAGTTTTAATTAGTGACCATCATCTTATTGGTAACATTTGTTCCCCATTTACAATGTTTGGCAAGGCAAAACACCAACATTTATTTTGCCTGACCTACAGAATTTTTGAACTTTCCAGAATCGGTAGCTATTAAGGCATTATAGTAAAATGCATTCCCAGGGAATTCACAATGATAGGCTATCTTGAAGTTTGACACATAGATTTTGGAATTGAATTTTTATTGGTCAGTTACGAAATTGTCAGATTTATTAAACCTCATTAATGTTTTAATATTTTGGAATTACATGTTGTAATAGTTGAATATGAAAAGCATGTTTTTACACATTCCACAGATCTCCACCATGTTAAAATTACACTCACTAAAAAGGGTGGAAAGACCAAAAAAACAACAACCCCCAAACCCAAACCTGATTTATAGCAAATAAATTTTTATTCTCTATAATCTAAATAATGTGGTGATGTTATCTTTAAATTTCAGTGTTCATCTTCCTTGCTGTTATACTTCTGGTGTATTGTATTCAATTTATTAGGGATCTCATTCATTAAGCTATGGGCTGTGAACTGACCCTAGAATATTTGGATGGAACCAAACCAAGATACATTCCTTTCTTCTTGTCCCACTATCTCTCAGTTTTTATCTTCCCTTGAAATACCCATTTCCTATTTGAATCTGCAGCAATAGATTTAGTCTAATGAGAATTAGAGAATTAAACAATCTTAAGAATAAAACAGGGGACCTCTTTTCCTACACAATTCCCATTCTAGCAAAGTAAGTTTATGTGAAATCTTTTCTATGCAGTCATGAATTACAATGGAAGAACACATGAAACATATTTGAAATAAATAATTTCAGGAGTTCTGTTCCCTTGAAAACATGCCACTGGCTGAAATCCAGCTGGTATCATCTATACACAGAACAAGTTCCTTTAGTAGAATGTACTGTATCTGCCTCCCGATTTTTCAGAAATATTATATGGAATGTTGGAGAAAATTTTGGAAAATATTTGTGTTGTGTGTGTGTGCATTACTGAGTGTTTTCAGTTGTTATGCTTTTTAGTAATAAGTTAGATATAGAAAGTATAGACTAATTATCTTATTTTGGACTCTACTCTGATAAATTAGCTGATCAGATATAAGAAACAATTGTTTAAACTTTTATTGGATTGTTTTTCAGTCTGAAAGAATGCATGGAGTATAATCGTCACCCCATATGTGATTATGTTAAAGAAACAATTGTCAGCTACCATACATTCCATTAAATTACAATATAATAATTGATGCCATATAGGTCTTTGCCAAAGATGTTGAATAAAACTTAGAACCCTACTTTCATCCAGTTTACATGGCAAACTAAATTTAATCAGAAATACTACTACTGATTCCTAGCAACATATTCTTCTGTAGGTTTTTGATATTTGAACCAGCTTCTCTTGTAAATTACCTGGCTAGATAACATCAGAACTGCATGGGGAAATGAACTTCATTGGGTTTTTTTATACTTCATTTTATATTTCAGAAAGAGATTTGAAAAACTTGACCATAAGCTTGATAAACTGGACCAATATGAAGTGGATCATCCCACTACAAAATGGATTTGCAGCTGGCTGAACAACTAACACATGGTCCTTAATGGGTTTACATTCACATGAAAGGAAGCATGCAGAGGGTAGCTCAGAGTTCTGCCTAGGACCCAGTTGTCTAGATCAGGGGTCCCCAACCATCAGTCAGTGGACCAGGACCGGTCTGTGGCATGCCAAAAACTGGTCTGTGCAAACAAGTGAAGTTTCATCCGTAGGATGCAGGCAGCATGCGAAACCACGCCCCCTCTGGTGCCCAAAAGGTTGGGGGCCACTGCTCTAGATGACTTCGATGAGGGACTAAAAGGATTGCTCATACAATTTGCAGATGACAAAAAGCTGGAAGACTTTCTAATACCCTAGATGACAGGCTGAAGCTTCAAAAGGATTTCGATAGGCTTGAACATTGATCCTATCCAATAGAATGTTATTCAATAATTAAAAATGTAAGTTTCTGTATTTGGCAGGAAAAAAATAGATACACAAGTACAACTTAGGTACAGGTAGACCTTGATTTACAAGAGTTCATTTAGTGACTGTTCCAAGTTACAATATCACTGAAAAAACTGACTTCTGACCATTTTTCACACTTGCAACCATTGCAGTATCCCCATGGCCATGTAATCAAAATTTGGATGCTTAGTGTACTAATTCAGTTTTACAAAATGAACAAGACTGATTAATATAAGCAATTTCTACCATGAACCATTTTCTATAGGTGTAACTATTTTCCCATTTTTAGATGCTATGGCCAATGTTGGTTTACTAGACAAGGGCAGGGTACATTTTTATTTCATGGGCAGCTTTTCTGCATTAAAGACAGATACACACACAGACACACACTAACATTTTAGTAGCATAACTCAAATTATCAGAAAAAGAAGCTTCACTGTTTAAAGAAGTGCATGGATGAACAGAAATCTATAGAAACTGCAGATCTAACACAAATGTGAAAGTAGCTCTGTTGGTTTGATATGTCAATCATTAGCAAATTAGCATATATATATCAAATAAACATTTGTTACTGGACTGTAGCTCTTCATACATCCTTCCATCACATATTCTCTCTACAGCTTACAAGTAAATAGATGTACTCGCATTGATTCTATCCATGAAAATTATGAATTCACATTTATTGATGATATGTACATAAAAAATTCAACATTTAGTGAAATATTGTTTTTGCTGATTATTTCCAGTATATAAAGAATGTCCAGTTTTGTTTTATATACAAGTTACAGAAATCAGTTCACACAGGAAAAGAAAAGAATTGTTAAAGGTATAGATAAAGGAGATAAGAACTATGAAAAGTGCTTAGTAAACAAGTCATTGCTACTGTAGTAAATAAAAGTAAACATTAATAGAAAGATTTAGCATTTCCATGTATTAGATTTTACACAAAATGGCATAGATATTATATAATACACCATTTCATTTTTCAGATGAATATTTTTAATTACAGTCAAAGCCAAGTTTGTGCTTTCTTTTGTATGTAGGGTGACCCAGCAACAATGCAGTCTAAGATCTGTGCACAAGATCCATGATCTCAAGAGACCATAACCACAATAATTCTCCTTAGCTGAATATATCTGCAGAGCTTGGAATTGAGTGGATCTCCCCTTTCTATGCATAATTATATGGTATCCATGCATTCAAGGCCTACAGAAGCAAAATAATATAACTATGTTTGGGCAATAACTAGATTCAGTTTACAACTGGAAAACTGTTCCTTGTTCTGTTAAGAAAGAGGAATAGTTATAACCTAGTTCTTCAGTCTTGCTTGCCAATCTTAGCAACTTTAAGATCTGTGGCGTTCAACTCCCATAATCTCCCAGCCATGGTGACCATTATCAGGAATTCAAGAAATTGAAGTCCATACATCTCAAGCTTCTGAGATGAGGAACACTGCTCTAGAGAATTTAAGACAGGCAGTAATTAATTTGATTCAGGGTTATCATAAATTATGTTTAATTTTTTGTATTATATGTAAAGATTCATGAAATGAATCTTGACTGCAACTGCATTGCAGTACCTTTGTTCTGGGATTTATAACTAATATGAGATCAATTATGTGTTTGTCCACCCCAAATGTTCATAATTGAAATTTGGGGACCTTTTGCTCCTTTTCCTGAATCTCTTGACTTCATCTGATTTCAACTTTATATAAACACTCCTTTTTTTCAAATAACAGTCTCTAAGATAGCATATTTTATACCATATTTTTATCTCAATCATTTATTTTCGCATAATCTATTAACACTGGAATATGAACAAGTAAAAGAATACACTTCAAAAAGAAGTCTGTCTTTTCTCACACTGCCTTAATTTTGGATTTGTTACTGTGGTCAGCGAAGAAGTGAAAAACGAAAACTTGAGGAATCTTGAGGGGTTAGACCATCACCATGTCCTGGTTGAGAAGCAAAAGCTGAGACTGCAGTTTCAAAAGGTAAACACAGCTTTCAAAATAAAAGATATATTTTTTTACAAGGGATCAACATGTTGATAGTTGCAACGATTTATTAACATTATCTTTATATCTCCAATCATGTATACAGAAAAATACATAATCAACTCAATATAATACTGTGCTTATATTTACTCATTAAAGTAGCAGTGCTATTGCAATCACAGTGCGACATCAGACAGTCACTCACATTCACTAAGTGCCAGGGATTGGTATACATACACTCACATGCATGCTGCTTGTTTAGATATATAAAGACAAGTACTAACATATTTACAATAACCTGGCTGGAACACAAGGGTTATAACGATTATTTAAACACAATTATACTGCTTATACCACCATATAGCAATGGGTAGCAGATTATGGAAATTTTGCTGTTAAACATCTGGAAATGGAAATGCCAATATAGCAGCCAAAGCCAGCCAACTTAATCCAATCTATTTTCAAACATATTACTATAAATTTCTATTCCAGCAGAGTTGAAGTTAAATTAAATTAAAATACCAACTATTAATACCGTATACACAATTTCACTGAAATTACACCAAGATAAACTACATTATCTACAGAAAGTGCGGGGAGGCACTGTTCTTCATGCGGAAAACAACGCATCAAAACTTTATAAGAGCATCATGCTTTGATAGGTAATACTAGCGTTTTACGACTTGTGTTTAGTTCTAATTACGAGAATATTTGAAAACTCTGCTTTAAAATAGGAGTATTACAAAATAAGATCACAATAATGTACTGCCCCTACCTACTGTACAGTTTATTTATCCATTTGGAGGTCATACATGACAGGTTGCACAAGTTAAATATACCTGTTTCATAGAGTCAATTGTTACTGTAGGTTTTGCCTCTTCAATTTTGTGCAGCCGTATGCCAAACGGGGCAGAGTCTGACTCATATTCAAACTATAATTTGGGTTTTAAAAATTTATTTGCTCTCTCAATGTGCTTGGATAATAACAAGGCATTAGCAATATAGGTATTTTGTAATTAACTGTTAATAAAGGAAGAAAAACAGATTTCGATCATTATGGTGAAAAAATATATTGCTTGCTTTTTTATTTTATAAATGTTTTAAAAATCAGGAGGTATTTATATATGTGCTATTCAGTTGACATAATCCCCTAAAGAATGTAGTTTGGTCCTTTTGTAGAAAGGCAAAGATGTGAGATCAAATGCTGCAGTTCCTTACACATTTTGAATTTATATAGCTTTCATTTTTGTCTTTGTATATCTCAACCAAACGCATCTAAAATCTAGAACAGTTTGAACCAACAGAGTTCATTAGTAGCTAAAACAAATAATTCCTGGTGTCAGTAATCTTTTGTCATTCAATTGTTAGGCAAATACTATATCTTAATACTGTTTTTGAGAAGATAACATTTCTCTCTGTCAGCATGGGATGAGATGTGTGTCACATTACTGAAGAAATGTAACCTGGGAATTTGGTATATAAACAAAAGCAGACACTTCATTCTGTCTGCATCATTTCCATGGAAGGCCTACCAAACTCATGAAATGCTATTTGATGCAAATCTTGGACACCAAATTGAGCCTTACTGACTCTGGGCATAAATAGATTAGTTTTTTTTTTCTTCAAAAACTGTAATCCTAAAGTATATGGATTTTGTAAATTAATTCCATTGAAAATAATGGCAAGTAAGTACATTAAAAACAAAATATATTCTGAATCAGAATATTTATCTGTAGGGTAGAGACATTCTGGAATTATCCTGGTAAAAAAACAAGCTAAGTATAAAAAAAAGGCTCAATCTCAAATCTATATTAATACTGTAATAGTGTTCCATAATGAACTGTAGCATAAAGACACCTTTAACTTCCATTTGTGCTTTGCTTAAAGTTATAAAGTTTAAAGAGTTATGTTAATTTAACATAACATAACAGTGGCTGGTTTCATATGTCACACAAGTCATAGTTTATTTTAACCATGGTTTGTGGAACAAGCTGTAGTGGCCTGCTTTATATAATGCTCAGCTATAAATCATGGTTTGCAAGCCACAAGAGCTGAGTTTGTATGTTGTGCTAGGTCAAAACCAACCCACTGATACAATGGCTTAATGTGTTGCATGAACCCAGTCACAAATTTCATTTATCAGAGTTCGTTACAAAAGAATCTTCCTTAAAAGGATTATAGCTTATTTTTTTCTTGCTTGCTTATATGGTTGTATAATAAAATAACTGTCTGCAACTGGTATAAGAAAATAACCTCTGCAAATGTCTGTAAATTACAGATGCCAGAAATAAGTTAATTCATTCTACAGTGTATATCATGGTTGCAGAAGAATAAATGGCTAAATTAGAATAAGTAGAAATACACCTCATGCATTCCATAAATTACCATTCATGCATTAGGAAGAAAGGAAGATTTTGTTAAAGTAGTCAACAGAAAATTGAAGAAGCAGCTTTGAAATAAAGATAATGGAATATTGAGATCTATAGCAGTGATTAAACCCACCCCACTAGGTCTGAAAACAAGGTGTCAAAGTTATAGCAAACTAAAATATAATTTTCAGAAGAAATATTTAAGTTACATTGTTTTCTAATGTGAAAGATTGGCATATTCTAAAATAAGATTTATAGGCCTTGCTTGAGGCAATCAGTGCTATAAATTGAATATAATTTCAAGTAGCTTTCTTTTTTTCAAAAGAGCTCATCTTAAAAGATGGGAGTTTCCACAAAGCTAAATATTGCGGTTCTTCTGATTTTTAAAATTATTTTTAATAAAATATTACTCTAGCAGCCTGTGAATTGCAATATTAAACATGTGGATAAAGTTGGTAAAAATGAGTTCAGTAATAAACTTTCCTATTGTTTGGGGATGAGGGGAAAGGGAATAAAAAATGGAAAAGCCATGTTTTTTAGATGTTGGGATGGCATTTACAGGCGTCATAGTTAATGGGGTACTGGCATGGGTCATTTTTCTTTAATTTGGTTCTCTATTCCACCCTAAATGTTCAGAGAATGAGAGAGATCTGGATTCTGTAAATCCACAACATACAAGTTCTCTAATATATAACTTCAGGATTCTAATGATTCTGATTCTGATTCTGACCAGTGATTGCCTTTTCTACATTTTCTTGGGTAAAACTCTATGGTATGAGATTTTCTTCTGTTAGTGTTAACAAATGTTAGGGTCTCTGGGGCCAAATTCTTCAGTATTGCTGTAAAAAAGACAGCAAGTGCATGTATGATTTTGTTTAGTTAAAACGTAATACCGGTAGGATAATCCCTATCATGAAGAGTTCTGTGAGCATCGAAGTATGAAAGCTTGTTACAGATTAAGAATAATTTCATGGAGTTATTAACTCAATTTAGAAACATACAATCAAAGGAATGTGAATATGTGAACAGATTAACCACCAATTAGCATTAGGCTTGGTGGAACAACAGATATATAAAAAATGCAACCCTAGATGTAAGGTACATATTCTTACTAGTTTGAATTCAGATTTGTCAATGTTGCAGTGTCCATCTTCTCTGACTTTACAGAATCAGTCTCACTAAGCAGGAGATAAAATTTTGAAAAGTAAAGAGGATGCATGTAAAAGAGAATTCCTGACATCCCAAGAGCCAGGTTTTTTTGGGGTTTGATAAAGATTTTTATATTAATCTTTTGGAGCAATGTTGAGAGAAATATATGTGAAAAATAAGTGAAAAATATTCCCCCTGTTAACTGTTAAAAGATACTTTTAAAAGCTGAAGAGTATCTAGAGATTTGATCAAGTATCTACAAGTGAGACAAAAGGCAATTCAGCTTGCTAAAAAGAGATTTTGTTGATAAAAAAGGGGGCTAAAAACAAATGTTTTCTCATGTACGCAAATATATATATATATATATTTTTGTTAGCACTGCTGTAAATTACTTCAGGTGTCTTATGAATATACACTTAAGCCTGTTTATAAAAAGTGGGGAGCATTAGCACCACAGAGAAAACAAATGAAAATTCTGTTGAACTCCATGAATCAAACCATACCAAGAGTGGGACCATGGGAAGATTTTATCTTCAAAGTGGCCAGAATTTCTCAGGTTTCCAATGCTATATCAAATAAATGGAATTTTGCTTGTTCAGAAACCCCTTTCTATCTAATCAAGAAATTGCTTATAAGCAAGGCTGGGTTTATAATGCAAATTAACAAACTGGATCTGAATGAAGTGCAAAGTGCTGGTGCAAAATTGTTTTCCTACAGATGAAATTCCTAATTGTTTCTTTTGCTGAGTCTCTAGGTAGCTATCACACGTCTTGGTTACACAGGCAAGAAATAAATTATTGCACATCAGGGATTAAATTGTAAAAATGCTTAAGTATTATATTAATAGTTAATTATTAATCATTAATGAATGTTACCAACAATGGAGGCATTAATATGGAGGAAAACTTTGACTACTGATTAAAAAAAAATATAGAATGCAATTGTTACTATATTTTGCATTTGCAAATGAAAAGCATGTTCACACAAACGGGCAAGGCTTATAAACTAACATTGCAGAATCCTTCTGCATCTTTCTTTTTGGAAATTCAGAAACTACAGTAGTTACCCTGGATAAAGAAGGTGGGATAATTGTTAAGGTTCTGTTTTGTACTGTCAAATGGAAAGACTGTGGATGGTTAAATTTGTTGGTTACCACAGCAGAATACAGAGCATTAGAATTCATTTAGGAAGCAAATGCTGAGCATGGTCACCTCTCCCTGTTATATTTTTGGTAAACCATGCACATAAAAACATGTAGGGCTTTAATTACAAGGCCAAATTGACTTTTTTGACCCCTCCCCATTTATATCCCTGATTGTAAGTAAAATGTGGCTTTGTTTTTAAGAACCAGAAATTCCCTGAGTTATGAAACATCCAAAAATGTTTTCCCAAATCCCACACAGGGCTTTTTTCCCCCTTCCTGTGTAAATATCAGAAATCTCTAATTGCAAAAATTACAATTTCTTCTTATTTTAATTTGAGAGCTTCCTTCTCAGTGTGGTTTGAAAGGAACCCATGACTTATTTTCAATTAGCATTTCAGAAATTGTCCCCATATAAAGGAACCTACGCTTCCATTAATGGTCAGTGCTTCGCTTCTTCAAAGTGAAGGGAAAATATAATGTGACACTGAGCACAAGCATATTGGTTTTTAGGGACAGTAAGAAAATCCTAAAAGGCGCTTCAGTGTGAATTGCCCATGAAAAAAATGGCGCCAACATGTGATAGCCACAAATGCACTTCTTCTTCATAAGGATAGTGTGCTCATCTGTGTAAAATTTAAGAGTTCTCTTTTTTTCCTGTTAATGCACGCAAAGATGATGTGCCAGACCTGACTTGAAAAGGAGATGTGAGAGGTGTGATTTCCTTATATCCTGTGTTTTTCTGAGTTAAATTATACTGCCTGCAGAGTTTACCAAAAGTAAAAGAAAGAGAAATATGAATGTGGATGTGGGAGTTACATCCAAATCTCTGCTCTCACCAGGGCCAATTATTTAATACACTGGAACAAAAAGAAGAAACATTGCTCTGTCTGATCTTTTCATATTTCTAAAGAGAACAACACTAGCTTGAAAAGACGTTCAGATATTAGATTGGCATCACTTTGCAGTATTTGTCGTTCTACAATATTGTGGCAAAGAAATAATCACGTTGAATGCCATAGCAAATAAAACTTAATATTCTAGAGAAGCGAATTGATATTTGCCCAAACTAATTATACTTAATATAATTAAGGTTCAACAGATTGGGTGGGAAGATATCTAGTACTTACAGGAAAATATCTTAGCCCTGATTAAATAACTAACTGATGTTAGACTCATGCTAAATATAACTTATTTCTTCTTAGGAAAAGGAATGACAAAAGAGAATTTACTAGCAGATGATATCTTCCCTAAAAAGAAGCACTCTCAAATCTCAACGAAGAAGCAGTAAGATATGATTGGAGAGAGCAGAAGGGTATATGCTGAGCAATTGGCACTGGGTTAGTTTTAGTATGATAAACTACTGCATTAGAATTCCTTGATTTCTTGATGCTTCTGGATCCATACAAATATGACTATTTTCTGCTTTTATAGATTTATTAAGATTCTGCTAATTGTTGAATATCTTCCCAGGTCAGTATGTATACTTCCTGGCGTGGATTGTTAGCTGTGCTAACATGTCATTTATTTAATTCCAGTGTCACAAATCTGCCTACTGGAAGGACATTCCACTGGGATTACAGGGAAATGAACCCACAATCATAAATGTATCCAATTCAGTTGTGTAAAAACTGTATTCTGCCTTCTGATCTCAAAAAGGTTGACTGTTTATAGAACTAGAATGGAGAGATGAGGAATTTATCATTAAAATACTTAGTTATTTTGAATGTATTGGCATTCACTGGAGTTCGGAACTGGATTTTTTTTTTTTTAAGGTAGATCACTTATTTTAAGACAGCTCGAAGAAAAGGGAACTGAAAAAAACATATGCAAAGGAAAGCACATGAAAAGCATTTAAGAAATAATGTCTTAGATTACATGCTCACTGTATTCAGTATGCACCAAGATACAGATTCGCATATTCAGCAGGAGGGAGATTCTGCATGATGTACACTATACTTAATGCTAAATATTTAGTCCCTGAAGCAAATCAGCTATATTGTGCCTTTAAAAATCTTCTTTAAATGCCTACATTTTCTCTGTTTTGAACAGAAGGAGGAAACCCAACCAAATATTTCTCTTACATCCAAACAAATAATAAAATAAAATGAATTATTTGGCCAAGAAACCAAAAGAGCAAAGACTTCACAAGACCATTGCTAAGTTTCAGTTAACAGCATTAAGTAAGCACATTTCTATGCTAAATAAAAACAGTGGAAAATCTTGGATCTTGATATCTGCTTTACCAAAAGACAACTTCAGGGACTTATTCAAGATGGACCTGGAGGGTTTCCATCTTATTTCTCATGTTTCCAAAGTTCTTCTTCGACAGCATTGAAGTCTGCAGATTTGCCATTGGTTGCCAAGGTTACCTGAAAGTAATTACCATCAACACCTAGCTTAAAATCAAGGCACTTTGATAGGAAACATAATGAATTATACAAATCTCAATAGTTACAGAACTGACTGAGTACATTCGTACTTTAATTTTTTGGGGGTTGTGATTCAGTTCTGCCATTTCAATTTTTTAAAAAAATAATCTATTGAAAATACTAAAATTTACAGCACAAAATACAACAATGCAGAGAAAAACTGATAGCAGACTGATAGGTTATTTTTTTTTTGTACACAGTCTATAAAAAAATAGCAAAACAATAAATGGAAGAATTAATTTGCCACAAAAGAGTGACATATTTCATTACTGGTGCATGTTAAAGGTACAGTTACAGTCAAGTCAAACAAGTATCAACAAGAGTGCATTTAATTTATTTCTGTTACATTTTTAAATTTAATAAAAATGATGGAAAGCAAAGAATGATGAAAACATTCTAGGGGAAACACTGATTAGTAAGCAATAGCCAGGTAGTTAATTGAAAAAATACTCTGGCCATTGATACCTTTTTACAGTTGTAATATCATAAACACAGCCAGAAAACCCAAAGAGTTAATGTACTTATTGGACTGATTAGAACTGAACTGGACCTTTACATCATAATTGTCTTTTATCTACTTGTACTTCCAACCTTACCTTCCATGTTCTGGTCCTCAGCTTCAAAAAAGAACCTTACAAAACAAGATTAATATTCCACATGATGGACAAATTAGATGCACAGAAGCATTGAGCATGAAAACATGAGGAATGCATTCACATTTGAAACAGTTGCAACCCTTCCTTCTGATTACAAAGAGGGAAATACATGCATTAAAAACAAAGTTCACTTCATATTTGAAGTTGAAATTGTAGGTAAGGTCAGAAAGAAATATAAAATGTGACAATAAATAAAATACAAGGAAAAAACTGTCATGCAACTCATAAGCCAATATTGCTTGTCAATAAACTTATATTAGTCATACCGCACTACCAAAATAGGAACCAGTTAAATATTAAAAAGCCAAGACAACAAATAATTGTATTAGTAAGTCAAGCATCAATAACAAAAACTGCTGACCAAATAATAAACTTGGATCCTGTTACAAATTTTCAAATTCACGCACTCATTTTAGTCCTATTTCCTAACTTTTATGATGATACAGTTAAACATTTTATCATATTTGTATCCCATTCATTTCAACATGAACATCTTAAATGTGTGCTCCACTGTCTGAATGACTGAAAGTTAAAACTGATTAATTTTGATGTAGTAGTGTTCCTTTATATCCATAACTAATAATATTTTATAGAAGAAGTAGTTTAATGCCTATACCTGAGAAAATTCTGCTTAAACTGAGAACCAAATAATAGCGCTGTCATAATTTTTCTGTCATGGAAATTAATATGGATAAAATCTTCTGATCATAATAAATTTTTGGATTGAAAATGTTTTTGGATTGAAGCATCTTTTTATTGTGTTTAAATGATGAAGTTTTAGAAACTTAATATGACACAAAGCCTTCTGCGGCCATTCCGTCCAACTCAGCTTTGAAACTGAAAACTAACCCATGTGGATAAAAAAACTTAATGATTATGTAATTAAAACCATGGTTATATGTCAGCTTGGATGGGGGGAAAGGCAAAATCTGCTTTGGGTCATCACAACTCAAACTATGTGAGTTACATAGAATAGTTGTCTCTACCATTAGGGTACAAGTATGACAGTACATAGTTTGCATTGTGATTTCATAATGCACATTTTGCCATTTTCACATCATTTTGGTTAGTCGTCGACATCTATGGCTGATAAGATATTAATAACAGAATCAGCTATTATCAGCATAAATATATAAAGATGAAGCTGTAGACCCTCTAAAGAAAACACTGAATTCAGTTCTCCAGTCAAACCTTGAGTTGTTAGTAGTGACAACTCTGCTTTATTGTGCTTTGAACAATCTAAGGAAATTACTAATTTATTCACCGACTTCCCTCTTTCTTCCCACCGTGACTGGAAGCATTCTCTTCCATTTTTCACTGCTCACAATTTATTGTTTCATCTGATCCTAAGTAACTAATCCTAATTACTTGGGATTGAGAAAAAGACAGTTTGGAATCTATGTTTTAAAGCTAGCTTGTTGCAAACAAAACTTAGTTCATATTCTCTAATATTTTACCAGATTCAATTGCCATCTCAAATTGTGATTAATAAAATAAGATATAAGAATTATTCCAAGAATCTTTGAGACCCTATGGTTTCTTGAAACTCAGTTCAATCTTGGTCAGGATAATTCTTGTTATAGCTTTCTTTTAACTCATGTTATTACTGACAGGATCAAACATAAACCACAAAATTGACATGGTAATGATGACCAAAAATAACTCTGAAAGCAAGAACAAACATGCCTGGATTAGTGAGTTTCCACATAATAAGAAGTCCAACACATGTGCCTGTATGGTGTAATATGGAAAGCATTAATCTAAAATAATATTGGCTTTACATTTTGCTTGAGGCTCATTATTTCTCAACAGTTAACTGTCTTTCACATTAATCATCATACAACTTCTTAAATCATTTTTTTCAGTTAATTCCGTTGTTTATTGCATTGTATGTATGGTATGGTATTTTAAAATTTGTTTTGTGATGTTTTATGGCTGTGTATTGTTAAGTACTCAGATTCATTGGGTTAAGATGGGTTATAAATTATAAATTCTACAAATAAATAAATTTTGAAGCCGAAAAACAAATATTTTTTGGAAGGAATCATAATTTGCAACAAATTCATTATTTCATATCAATTAAATCAAAGTGCTTTTTAAAAATCAAATGAATATTGAAATAGAAAATGAAGCCATATTCTTTCAGCATGGTGCTGCTTTCCATAACACATAGTGAAACATGCTCTTGGTTGCAAACATTACATGCATCTTTCAGTTTAAACAAAATGGCAATAAATTAAACAAAATTAAAAGCAAATATACACATATTGAACATTTTTAATGGGTGCCAGTTGTCTCATTATTACATTTTTTTTTAAAAAAAGATAATTTATTATTTTTTAAGAAAAAGTTTGTACTGTGACTTGCTAGATGCAAGTCTCAATATCCATAAATGTGAAAGGTACCTTGCATTCATCTATTATGACAGAGTTGTGAGCTGTGTAAACGCATTGGTTTGAGTTGTTTTCCCTGTGAGTTTTCAGATCATCATAAATTGACTGAGTCTTGGTCATTTCAATATCTTCATGTATCTTGTGATGGGCATCAATGTTTTCCAGTTCTGCCTTGGATAGATGATAAACAATGCCAGCTCCAAACGAGTCTCCTACTACATTGACAGATGTTCTCATTCGATCTCTACAAAGAAAACAATACCAAAAGATGGAAGACTTGAAGCACCAAGAATCAATTGACAAGAGACTTCAGGGATCTTCCAAGTGTGATGTTGGTCAGAGCCAATCTTGACCAATGGCCAAGCTCTAACTTTGTTGCAATCCAATACAACTTAAGGATATTAGGCCGATTTGCAGTGTGAATCCCCAATGTAAGAACATTTACGTAACAAGAGAAAAGGAGCAATATAAAGTCGATTCCTATATTTTCTCAAAAAGCATTCCAGAAGTTGCAGTTAGTAATTAGTTAATTACAAAATTCCTTCATTTCAATTTCTCCCATTTTGGAAAAGAATACATTTTTATCTCTCTTGAACTTGGTTAATGTTAATGGTGAAGCCTCTGATTAAGAAGGTAGTGAATAAAAAAGATATTCATCTTAAAAGGAGCTAATTACTGGACAGCCAAGAAAAGATTTTAAAAAACCATGAATATTTATACATTTGCATTTATACTTTCCAAAACCTCTCTAAAATGCTAGCTTCTGCTGTAACGTTTACTTCAACATCAGTCACTGTGAAACCCATTATTTCTTTATTATTTTCCTAGTAAGAGTGGCAATTTTGTTATGTCTCCATTTCTGTAAGAAAAGTCTTATCCATAGACTGAACACTGCACAAACACTGTTCAGAGCTGATCCATGGGAATCCAACTAGGACTCGGTACAGAACCTATGTAGAGCATATTTTCTCTACAGCCAATTCATTTCTTGAATGCATTTGTGATGGCACTTTCTAATGTTATTGTTTGTGAAGGAAATTATTTGAGAAGGAGATCACAGCACATCTGTTTTTCTGAAAATGAACATTAATCATCAGACCACTTTTAGTTGTAGATTAGGTGGAAATATTTTAGATCCCAGGAAATACAGTAGATTAAATGGAAAAACCTTCTTCAGAAAAAGAAAGCGAAATGCTATCATAATTAAATATACCTTAAAAAACGACTAGCCAAATATAACTCTCCAATACGTTTTTGATTTTTGCTGTCTTAAGATTTTTCCAAATTCGTTCTTTCTTTATAACCCACCTGTTGGGCTACATTCAGTGGTGGGTTTCAATTTTTTTTCCCTACCGGTTATGTGGGCGTGGCTTGCTGGGCATGGCAGGGGAAGGATGCTGTAAAATCTCCATTCCCACCCCACTCCAGGGGCAGGATACTGTAAACTCTCCATTCCCACCCCACTCCAGGGGAAGGTTACTGCAAAATCCATTTCCTCTGATCAGCTGGGACTTGGGAGGCAGAATATAAATGGGGATGGGGCCAGTCAGAATTTTTACTACCGGTTCTCTGAACTACTCAAAATTTTCGCTACCGGTTCTCCAGAACTGGTCAGAACCTGCTGAAACCCACCTCTGGCTACGTTTTCTGGCTGAACTTCATCTTGTTTTATGATTTGTACACTAACATTATAATGCCATTTTACCAGGTATTCTCACAAATTTAGATTTTACATGGCGATAAATGGAAAAACGAAACAGATATCCATACTAAATATAATAATTCATTTTCTCAGGCATTTCAGAAGCAAAAACTGAACAATCAAGACTGTACAAGACTATTCTGAGTTTCCTGTTTGTCAAAATATAAAATCCCTGTGCCTGCAGTACTCTTATGATGTTTGCTTTGCTTTGTAAAATTCAGTTGTTGACCACACTAAAATAATGGATTAATTCTTTTGTGAAAAAATAGCAAAGGCTGCATTTTAAAATAGGAATAGTGTAATTTGCTAATACTAGAAAGATATTCTTGTAAGTGTGTGTGTGTGTGCGTAGTCTATTTTTACATTTTTAGATCTCTTTTGCAATATGATTCCGCAGCAATTTTGAAAAAGGTATTTGCATATTAAAATCTAAGAATTAAGCATGAAGTGGCCAGTGCTACAGAAGTGAGTTTCAGCAGTTTCTGACCAGTTCTGGAGAACTGGTAGTGGAAATTTTGAGTAGTTCGGAGAACCGGTAGTAAAAATTCTTACTGGCCCCACCCCCATCTATTCTCTGCCTCCCAAGTCCCAGCTGATCGGGAGGAAATGAGGATTTTGCAGTAACTTTCTCCTGGATTGGGGAGGGAATGGAGATTTTACAGTATCCTTCCCCTGGAGTGGGCTAGGAGTGGAGATTGTACATTACCCTTCCCCTGCCACGCCCACCAAGCCATGCCACGCCCACCAAGCCACACCCACAGAACCGGTAGTAAAAAATTTTGAAACCCACCACTGCAGTGCTACATATCACATTATATTTAGGTGTATAATTCAAACCAGGCTGATAACATTCACTAATCAATTTAAATTAGCTCATGATTATTGGTCAAAGGCTTTTGTTTGCTAGTACTAAAAGGCTATCGAATACAGATTATTCACTGCATAAATACAAATATTGGGTAATTCAAACCAACTAGAAAACCAACTAGGAAAAAAAAAAGAAACTTCAGTCAGGTTTTATGCTGTTGGTTTTTTAAAAAGTGAGAGAATCAGTAGCTTCATTTGTAGCCACTCAGGTTTACTAGTACAAACATGGCTTTTTCATGTGAGATTCATTGAAATATGAATTTGTCCCTTCCAGTAAAAAGGAATTTAAAAAACTATGTGCCATCTCTGAACGTAAAGTCAGTCTAAAAAGGTGTATAAATCATCTTGAAGTTTCTCTCAATAACAGATCAGCCCTCCTGTCACTAAAACCTTTAAGCCTGTTCAAGATCCCAAGCTTCCTTTGCTCTACCTGATCTTTTCTATAAAGATGATATCACAGAACTGCTTCAGGGGACGCTTAGGTTAAACCACAGCATTACTCAATCTTTGAGAAAGATCAGGCATCACAATGTAAACTCCAGCCTTTTCTGCCCAGTGTGCTTGGTTGGCTCCATTGGTGAATTATGGCTACGATTTAGGAGAGGACTGTTTTAACAAGTGACACTGCTTCAAATGACATTTCCTTGAACAAGAAAGCAAACAATCACCAACATCAGTTTAACATCCTCTAACCGCCTGTCAGGCTTTGTTCTTTTCTGCTTCAATATAAACATGCCCTTAAAATATAAATCCAGTACCTGTTTATTGATATAACAACCTATCTACATCAATTTCCCTTTGGGCTGCTTTCTATTAACTATTAAATTGCCTGTACTTTTTCCTATCTACAGCAATATTTTACTTAATTTCATTTATTTAAATACTACCTTTATTATTTTTTATAAATAATCCAAGGCACCAACATACCTACTATTCTATTTTCTCCACAGGAACAACTTTGTGAGGTGGATTGGACTGAGAAAGAATGTCTGACCTGAAATCACCCAGCTGGCTTTTATACCAAGGCAGGACTATTTTCTTACCTTTTAACCCAGAAGATAGGAATGAGGCTGAAATTTGATATAAACATATAAAGATGTTAGAGCATCTTTTTTCTATAGCATTACAGGTAGGTCTTGTTTAGTTCTTGTTTAGCAACTGGAACCAGCAACTTGGTTGTTAAAGAAAGCAGTCACTAAATGAAACTCAGGTGACTGTGAATGTGTTTACAATTTTATTTCATACTTTGCTTTATAAACTCAGGATATAACTCTAAACAGCCTGGTGAAACCAAACAATGGGGGTTTCTGAAACTCAACTCACAAGGACGTTGGGTAAAAAGGACAAATTTTATAGCAGTTCCCCCCCCCCACTTCCCTAATCTTTGGAATGCTCACCCCAGCACTGGGATAATTAGCAGGAAGAGAATTGATGTTTGTATTAGATTCATTGGAGAGAAAAGGATGAGAAGAGAGTAATCAGGCACACAATGTACACTAAAAGAAATGCATTATTGCTGGCTATTTGCCTAGCACACTCAGTTTATGAGTCAGGCCCTGCTTAGGTAGCAAAAAAGCTTCAGTGGGAAATTGAATAGGATCTTATCAGTCATGCAGCAGCCCACTTAATGGATGGGCCTCAAGCTGTCACAGCATCCCTGAGACCACATGATTTCAATTCTAGAGAGCCAGAGGTTCTAATCAACTAATTAAGGTCACAGAGCTGAGCTTGTTAATTTGTGGGTAGCACTTTGGGGGAATCCACTTCAGGGGGAGAAAAGCAGCTCTTGAAGAGATAGCTTATTTATGCAATCTCTCCATCTATGAGGGGTGGGGAATTTTTAAACAGGTCTGGCTCACCAAAATATGTACTGGCATGTTATTGAGACAGAGATAGTGCAAAGGTCATCAATGAGCACATTCATCACAAAGTTACTTTTTCATCATCATCATAACTACAAGCAGTTGATGTCCAAGGCAATTGCTATACAATGACCTTCTGTACATGAGCTACAGGACTTTTTGTGATAGAGCTCATCCTACTTTCTTAACTTTTAATATCTAGGGTATGGAATTTTTTTTTCTTTTCCTCCCAGGAGAACTGCACAGCATCAATACTAACGTCTTCTGGTGTCAGATGAATATCTCACATGCTCAACTGCAATAGATTGTTAATCAAATGACTGTTTTATTGTCCCACTGGCTGATATTATTCTGTCCTCTCTTGCTGCCTCTGCAGTTTTAACATTTTAGCACTGTGTTTTAATTATCAGCTTGTCTTGTTTATTGCTACAATACGTAAGTCATTTTCAGCATTTTTAAATGGTGTATGTGTTGGGGTGAGAAGAAATATGCTAAGATCAAATCCTTCAGGACCACTAAATATATAGTAAGTGTCCATAGAAGTTTCTAATCAGAAGTTGATGAGATTAGAAGCTTGCTCAAAAAGTGAACAGCAAATGCTGCATCATTGTCCTGACTTTTGGAAAAAACAACAACTCTGTAAGGCAAAAATGGAGATGATCCAATGACAGGACAGTGTTGTGTCAACAACTGAAGAAGGTCTACAAACATATATGTAGTTTTAGTGTCCTAAGCAATCCTGACAGTCTTTCTGTACATTATAGTCCTTAAAATAGAATTGCAAAAGAGCCAGCATCCATCTCATTTTCTACATATTATATCTGTACATATATGTATCTACATATATGTAATTTTTACATATTTTTCTACATATTACATATTTCTACATATTATAGCTCATGGCCAGGGCCACGATTGAATATTTGTCTACCTACTATTCCAGAATTTAAAAAAGGATTGGCTCCCCCAATCACAAATGAATATTATTACATATAGTCCTTGTTAATGACCTTTTATTTGACAACTGTTTGAAGTTATGAAGGCACTGAATGAGAAGACTTAATGGCCAGTCATCTAAATTTCAGCTGTTGCAACATCCCTGCAGTCACATGATTGCAATTCAGGTGCTTGGCACCCAGCTTGCAATTATGACAGTCAGAGTGTCCTGAAGTCACCATCTATAAACTTTACTGTCAGCATCAAACTAAGTCAATGGGAAAACCATCAGGTCACAAATGGCAATCACATGATGTCACATCTAATGACCATGTAGGATCTGCCTAATGATTGCAACTGGAAAAGCTATTGTAAATGAGCACAGGAGTTCGAACCTAACCAGCTCAAGATTGACTCAGTCTTCCATCCTTCTGAAGTTGGTACTATGAGGACCAGAGGTGGTATTCAGCAGGTTCTGACCAGTTCTGGAGAACCAGTAGTGGAAATGTTGAGTAGTTTGGACAACTGGTAAATACCACCTCTGACTGGCCCCGCCCCCATCTATTCTCTGCCTCCTGAGTCACAGCTGATCAGGAGGAAATGGGGATTTTCCACCCCACTTCCCCTGGAGTGGTGTGGGGATGGAGATTTTACAGTATCCTTCCCCTGCCACGCCCACCAAGCCACACCCACGAAGCCACGCCCACAGAACCAGTAGTAAAAAAATTTGAATCCCACCACTGATGAGGACCCAGATTGTTGAAACCAATATGCTGCCTCCATAAACTCAGAAAGTGCTGTAAAGCAGCACCAGGGACCAGTTCCACGGAGAGACGTTTCTCTGCAGACCAAAGGGGACATGGTGTCACATGCTGCCTGCATCCCATAGATGTGCCTTTGCTTGTTTGTGGCAGCCCTGTTTCTGGCATGCCACAGCCCAATGCTAGTCCATTGGGGACCCCTGTTATAAAGCACTATGAACTGGTGTATAATGTAAGTCTAAGTGCCATTGCTATTGCTACAAGACATTCTATTTTTATAATAATTAGTAGTAGTAATAGCACGCAACGTGTGCATATTACCTACAATTGGATATCACAAACAATTCACAGACATGACATTAACCCCTTTATATCATAAACGTTTTGCTTTTTCTTGGAGTGCTGAAAATCAAATTCTGTGAAGCGGGTTGAGCTAAGACAAAGTGTACGGCTCTTCCAAAGCCATGTAGGATATTCCATGATCAACAGGAGCTTGGCCTTGGATATCTCTATTACCAGTCTGAGATCTTAATCACCAGTTTGCAGTTTATCACGAGGAGGTGACTTAAGGCTGAAGTTAATATCCTATCAGCTGGATAATCAATCACTATTTTGACATATATCCTAAAAGCAGCCTTACTTACAAGAGCCAATCTACCGCCACAAGTAAGCTTATATCCTGGGTGGGAAGTCCTACTGCAGTGAGGATAAGAAGCATGGTCACCAGTCCCGCACTAGGTATACTTGCAGCTCCAACACTGGCAAGAGTGGCTGTCAAACTGTAAAACAAAACATGTCAGCTTATTTAATACAGGAATTGTGCAAACATGGACTCGGGTTATTATCTTCTCAAAAATAATGTAGGTACTCGTTGACTCACAGAAGTTCATTTAGTGACCATTTGAAGTTACAGTGAAAAATGTGATTTATGACTGTTTTTAACGCGAGCCTTACAGCATCCCTATGGTCACATGATCAAAATTCAGATGCTTGGCAACTGGTTCATATTTATGATGACTGCAGTGTCCCAGGGTTATGGGATCACCTTTTATGGCCTTCTGACAAGCAAAGTTAATGGGAAAGCCAGGTTTACTTAACAAGCATGTTACTAACTTAACAACTGCAGTGGAAAGAAAAGTCATAAAATGGGGGCAAAGCTCGCTTAACAAATGTCTCGCTTAACAAGCGAGAAATTTTAGGTTCAATTGTGGTCATACGTCAAGGACTACCTGTACTGTCCTACTTGCATGGGAAATATTTCATTTGTTTCTCCTGAACCATCAACACATTGCACACTCCACAACTCTGCTCTGCAATGTTCCTCAAATTTCCAGAGGATTGCTTTCTACTGGCATATGGATAGACTTGGACCCAATCCATTTTTCTTATAAATTCATAACATCTATTAATTTTATATTAAAGACAGTTGGTTGAGTTTAGAACAGGTGAGGCACTATAGATGTTGTTGAAGAATTCAAGTCAGCATTTGCTAATGTTTAGAGAGGGTGGGAAGTACAATCCAACACAGTTACAGGCCAACATCAGAACCAAAATATTTTCAGGTGCTTTTATTACAAGGGCCCTCATTTAATGAGCACTTGTTCAGCAACCAGATTAACTTGTCATAGTGGCGTGGTTGTGAAGCTATGGCACGTGTGTCACAGGTGGCACACAGACCCCTCTCTGTGGGCATGCAGAGCCATTGCCCCGGCTCAGCTGTGCCAAGCATGTGCCTCACACTGGCCACCTGGTCTTCGGGTCTCTGCACATGCATGCGTGGGGGTGAGGCGCATCTGCATGCATGGGGGTGGGGGCATGCAGGGGCATGTGCGCATGTGTGTGGGCTGCACGCGTATTGCATTTTGGCCACGTGCGCTTTGGGCACTCGGTCCAGAAAAAGTTAGCCATTACTATCATAGTGAACGAGTGGTACTTACAATCAGTCCTCAAATTTCTGGTCATTGCTACACCCCTGTAGTCATGTGATCATAACTCACCAAGCAGCCCAGATTTCTGAGCATGACAGTGATCACAATTTGCAAGGTATGTATGTGGTATGTGGATCACAATTTGCAACCTTCCCTGTTGGCTTCCCACAACTACAGTCAATGGGGAAGCCAACAGGAAATCAAAACCCATGATAACGTAAGAACCTCACTTAATGACAGTAACTGGGGACTGCTGGATGCAGTCACATGACATTGCGCTTTAGGAACACATCACTTAGTAATAGAAATTCTGGTCCCAGATACCATCATTAAGCATGGATTACTGATAACGTGCCCGTCTGTTCATTTTCAAAACCATTTTTCCCAATTATATTCTTGTTAATTGTTCTGATATTAAAACAACATGCGATTCATTTAAGTTTAGCCAATTGGACCCGCACTGTTTTTTTTTCTATTCACTATCCATACGGTGAAAAATCATGCTTACTGTTTAACATCATATAAACGATGGCTATCAGACTGCTTGTATTTGTATATAAATGTTATGATGGAAATGGAAACTTTTTATAGATTCTGAGCATGAGTAAAGGCTAGCAGGTACTTCCAAATGTAAATAATTTTGCAATATTTAACGTTGGGATATCAATTTTTTTTTACCAACCCCAATAGATTACCTGACAGTGACTATCTGTCCGGCATCCAAAATAATGCCATTCATCTGTGCTATGAAGATGGCAGCCACTGCTTCATAAAGGGCAGTTCCATCCATATTAATCGTGGCTCCAACAGGCAAGACAAACCTTGTCACACGCTTATCAATGCCCAAATTTTCTTCAAGGCAGCGAAAAGTAACAGGCAAGGTACCAGCACTGAAGGACGAAGGAAAATAAATTATTTTATTTTGTTATTTTAAACATGTGAATAATTGCTTAATTCAACCTGATTCTGGGCAGCATACAAAAAACAGTAATCAAAATACAAAAGGAAAATAAATTCTACAACTGAACCAATAAGCAATTAAATAGTGGCACAGTGGTTAGAATGCAGTACTGCAGGCTACTTCTGCGGACTGTTGGCTGCCAGCAGTTCCAATCTCAACAGGCTCAAGGTTGACTCACCCTTCCATTCTTCCAAAGTTGGTAAAATGGGGACCCAGATTGTTGGGACAATATGCTGACTCTGTAAACCACTTAGAGAGAGAGCTGTGAAGTACTGTGAAGCAGTATATAAGTCTAAGTGCTATTGCTATCTCCACCAAATGGGAGCTCTGCCCTTCCTGATCCAACCATCTGAGGGAAGAATCAACTATTGATTATCTTTCCGAAAGCTTGCAAAGTTGGAACCAATGATTATGTCAGCAAGGAGACATTATTCCAAACAGCAACATTGCCACAGAGAAAGTATGCTTCCTGGATTCCACAAGATGACTGATGAAGTGTGACATAGTTGAGGAATGTTCATAACAATCTATACTGTTGCATTCTATAATCTTTGGATCAAGGGCTGTCCCATGTAGAGTATAGTACAATAATCAAACCAGGAGGTGACTAAGAGAAGTAGGACGGAAAGAAGGACCCTCCAATATAAGAACAGTCACAAGTTGGCATCCAACATTAAGTTATTCAAAAGCCCCATGACCACAACTGTCATCTGTTCAACAAGAAAGAAGACCCCCAAATTGCACCCTGAATCTGAGCAGAACAGTGATTCATCCAGAATCAATAATGAAGTATCTCGGGTTCCAGGTCTCAAAACTTGATCTTGGTATGACTGAGCAGAAGCTTGTTCTTCTCCATCCAGACCTCATAGCTTCTAGATACTGGGACAGAACCTTGATCATTTTACTTGGTTGGCTGGGGGATCAATATACAACTGAGATATACAATTGAGAATCAGCAGCATACTGATGATACTACACCAAATGTATCTTCACATAATTAGAAAAATTAATTCTGATTCAAAGGTATTATCTGAGAGTGCATTATCAGCCAGGGCTCTCCCAATGCACAAGTGAACTCTGTTCATCTATTCTAGAAACATACACAGTTTGAGTGAAGCTTTTCAGTGATGGGACAAAACTTGAACATTAAGGCTTCATAACTCAAGGATGGTTGAACCAGGATTTCTTGGAACTATTCCAACAACTTAACTGGTTCCCAGGCTGTCCAAACAATTCAGCCTCAGGTACCAGCAATGAATATTCTTTCTCTAAGTATAGAATTCAACTGAGCGAAACACAAAAAGATCTGGCTAGATCTTTTTACATATTACCCTTAAAATGTGGCTATTATTAAAGGAACAGGTTTTCACTTCTTGATGACAAAATGAAAATGTCCATCCATCGATAATCTCCATCCAAAAATTTTCAGGTCCAATCTTGCTTAGCTTTTTTGTGAACAGTTAACCTCAACTAGATAGAGCTGTACAAAACGTTTGAAGTGTTTGTTGGTGCAAGTGAAGTTCCTCTTTTTGTAATATAGAAACAATTATGTCCTCCAGAAAGCTTGGGGTGTCTTTCCCAGCTTGTCTGTGCATGTCTATATACATGTATGTATATACATGTATGTGCATGTATATAGAACAATGTACTTGGAACTCTAGTGAAGTGGATATGAAGACATGCACATATTATGCAAAGTGAATTTCAGAGGTTCCTTTGGAACATGGGTGCTTCAACATTTCAAAGAGAGACACTTCACTCATGCCAAAACCTTTTGTGAAGCACTTTGTGAAGCAATCCTTCCAATGCCTCCACATTCCAGTTTAAGTTGTAATTGTTAGATAAGCAAAAATGCCAATCAGGAGTCAGGGTTGATAGCAGCTACATTCAGTATCTAGTGTTCAGTTTATTTGGCACCATTTCAACAAATCATCATGGATTTTGGTATCCAGTTTTTCCTCCAGTTACCCACACATTCTTTTTACAGGGGACAGAAACGAAATAAGAAGTAACTTGCTGACAATTAGCTTCACTTCTAAAACAAGAACAGTTATAAATGGATTGATCAATCTAATATTTATCCCATAGGTATTCCTTCCTCCATGTTCTCTATCTCTTCTGATTATATTGGAAAGGAAAAAATTCATAGCGAACATTATGGAGATTCAAATAACTCATAAATATGCTCATAATCAAGAAATAACCCCCTCCACTGCCTAAAAGAAATACTTTGCTTTGATAATAACAGTATTTTCCAATGATGTAGCTAAAGAAGATGGAAAAATGTCTCTATTCACTCAATTGGATAAGTTTTTACATGTTTAGGACAACAGGTGAACCAAAACATAGTTCTGATTCAATATTCATAGCTTTTAAATTGGTGCATGGAGTTTACGTATTTTAAAAATTAGGGAAAGCACCTGTCTACATTGATGCGTGTTTGTCACACATGAAAGAACTTGAAAATAACATAAATGTGTTTTTATTATATTTGGAAGAAATGTGCACTTAACTATCCATCTTCTGAAAAATATTTTCCAGTCTGATGAACCAAGCCTGGCAGATTTGCAGAAATGAAGAACTCTGAGAAACCAAAACAGTCACATTTCCTATCTGTATTGTAGCTACCTAAGTAATTATACATGAGACAGAATAGAAAATAGGACTCAGTGTAAGGGAAAACATAGAATACAGAATAGAGTTGAAAGGGACCGTAGAAGTGTTCACTCCAATACCCTGGTCAAGCTGAACATATACCATTCCAGACAAATGGCCATCCAATCTCTTCTTAAAAAGCTCTAGTGATGGAGCACTTATAAACTCTGAAAGCAAGCCGTTCTAATGATCTATTGTTTTCACTGATAGGGAATTTCTCCTTAATTCTAGGTTGGATTGCTGTTTGATAATTCCATCTGTTACTTCTTGTCCTGCTCTCAGGTGCTTTGGAAAATAGATCAGTCCCTTCTTCTCTGTGACAGCCCCTCAAATATTGGAAGGCTACTATCATGTCATCCCCAGTCCTTGACTTCATTTAACTAGCCATTCCCAGTTAGAATAGAGTAGAACAGACTAGAATTAGTCACAAAGGAAAAGAAATAATACACCAAGAATAAAGATAGGGGCCAAGTATTATTTTCTGGAGCCAGTACAAACTAGTAGCTCCTATCTACATACACACTGTAATACGAACCCCTGGAGACAGTTATGAAATAGTTTGTTTTATTTCTGCATTTCTAATTTTGTCCCTATATGCCACTCTCTAGGCATGTTAATATACAACATTCAGTCCAAAGGAGGAGATGATTGGCAGTTTTATGTTTTTGAACTGATACAAAAAAGTGTGCCCTGCAATACTTTGATGTTGTTGACCCCGTTGTCATTATTCTGCACGTATGTAGGCATGAGCTTAAATGGACTCCAGAGGATGGTAGAGGACAGGAAGGCCTGGAGGAAAGTTGTCCATGGGGTCGCGATGGGTCGGACATGACTTCGCAACTAACAACAACAAATGTATGTATGCATATGTATTTATATGCTTATTTGTTTGTTTGCACAGTTTTTGTATCACCCAGTCAATGGACTCTGGACACTTAAAAAAATAAAACGTAACTATGTAAAAATGACAATCCAGTCACCAGTCATCAACTTAAAAGAAAAAGAAGAGTTTTCAGAGCAACCTAGATCAAAGTGAAACAGGTCCAGCCCAATCTCTTTTATCAATGTAAGTCAGACTGAACCCAGTTTTGGTGGTGAAATTCTTTGACCTTCTACTTTTGGGACACTTTTTACACTAACAAAGCTTTCTGATAGCCTCAGCCTGCAATCGTGCAGTTGGCAAGCAATAGCCTTGGAGAAAAATGATTCAGGACACAATTTTTTATCACGATATTGAATTTCCTGCCCATTTTGGTTAAAAGGTAGTCCCGTGAAAGGAGAGATACATCTCTAGCAAACATCATCATTTTCTATTAAATACCTTGAAGCTGTGCCTAGAGCAGTGATCCATGCTTGAAAGATCCCAGCAAAAAATGAGAAGGGATTTTTTCTCGTAATTACAAAATACAACAGAGGCAAAAAAATGCCTCCATGGATGAGAAGACCTACAATCACGGTTACCATGTACATGCCAAGCTGTCGAGCAACTACTTCCAAATCCTTGATTGCAATGATTTTTCCACAAATGAGGCACGCAATGCCCAATGGAGAATACCTAGAAGAAAGTAATAAAAAATGTGGAATAGAATTACAGGTATCAATCTAGTAATAATCAAATGCACTAAAAGCAAAATCCAGGAAATTTTCCCTCTTATTATTAGAATTTTATTTCACTTTCAGAAATCTTGAACTTACACATTCTACTTCAATGTTGTTTATATGTTTGCTAAGAATAAAGTCTGTATAATTTTGCCTAATATAATGCTGCGAATGAGAAAATTAAACTCAAAATTTTCAATCTACTTATCTGTTTATATATCCTTTTTGCCCACTTGCATTCTTCTGCTAGTATTAGTAGGGAAATAGCCAATCAGATCTTTATAACTAATTATAGAAGAGTAGCTGTGACAGTTTTTGATGGCAATAAAATATTTGTCATTTAGAGACTAATGCTTTTATTACAACTTAAGCCAGTCTTCTGGAAACTGGAATTTCAAGAATGCCCTTACACATCATCCTCACTATTTTATCATGAACTAAGCTGAAACTGTGGGTTTACATCTGATCCTTCAATGAAGAATCCTAGTAATCTATAAGTTTCTGAACCATGTTGTTTGAAGCACTGTTTCCAAAGATGCCAGATACTCTCCTTCCTGAAATATCCACTGAGGCTAATCCTTACAATCTGGTTTCAAGGAATCTTTACTGAATGTTCAACATTGTTTTATGTTTTTATGGTGTTTATGAGAGTTTTACAAATCACTGAAGCTGTTGGTATTGACCATTTCCTCAGATAACAGTCATAAATAACTGGACAGCAAGTATCTTTCAGATATGAAAACAAAGAACTTTATCTCCATACAATAAATGTTTTGCCTATATAAATAAAGCAGATTCATGAGTAAAATCCCTATAACTGTGACAGTAGAAGCTATGGAATCACTATTAGCAGCTTAGAATGGATCCTAAACAGTATGTGAGAATAACTGTGATGCAAAGATCCAGTTTCAATACAGGAAAAAACTGGAGCATCACACAGTAAATTAAGTGTTAGATTTTGCTGGACTATGACATCAATCAACTGCTATGGACCATTTCTACAGCTCCCCAAAGATGAAGAAGGGCCTCCAAAGGGATCAGAGCTGAAAAACAACAACCCCAGAGATTCTGTACAATTCAATGCTTCAAAAGGCTGCCATAAGCAGACACTGTTATGTAACTCAGTTCAAATGCAAATAAATGTAATAAAACCTAGCTACAAAATCCTTGAAACTACTCCTTTGTTCTGAGGAGGAAGAGGTGGTGCTACAACACAGCAGTTACCAGATGTGGGTTTTCCATGCCCCTCAGTAAGAGGTACAGCATATGACTTCCTGAATCATTCTTTGAATTGGAACCAAGTCAAATTGGAAAGATTTTAAATGAAAAGTAGACTGATTTTTTCCGCCCAATTTATAAACCAAGCTCACAGCTACTAATCATCTTCCAAGATGCTGCTAATCAAGAATGAAGTGAGGAAGAATGAAACAATAGTCTACTGGGATTCTATGAGCTAAGATGTTGTATAGTGTGTATAGATGATGTAGCAGATAGAAATATTCTCTATAGCCCATGTTCACCTTTTAATGAACCCAATCCACCCTCGCACAGACTTCTGTCTGCTTTACTTATTGTAAAAAGAAACCATAATTCCTCTCTGTGTTGTTCTTTACAAAGTGCTTTGTACTATGAAAGAGAAACAAAATTGGAAAGCTGAAACAAAAAAAAAAGACAGAAAGACTGTAATTTCAATCCAATATAATAAAATACATCAATGCAAACATTTTGGCAGGCTTACAGTAACTGGGTCTCCATGACCTCCAAAATCAAAGGCAACATGATTTCATCATCATTAGCTAGGAAGCACAAATGGAAGATGTTATCATCATCATATCCTGCTTGTGAAATTCCTGGATATATTTGTAGTCCAGACTCCTGGATTACATATACTTTTGGCTTGATCCAACAAAGTTCTCGGTATAATTACTAATCAAATTCCAAATGATTTCCAAAATAGAAAAGGGTTTGGAGCATCTAGTAGATGATGACTTTAACTTACCACATTATCATAATTACTAATTTCATTACGATCTCATTCAAGATATTGAAGAAATCCACCATCATCTTGGCTTGTTCTCCCATCTTGCCCATTGTGATACCAAAAGCAATGAAAAACCCGATGAGGCCTGTCGAAAGAATACTACCGTCAGACTCTTTTATGAAACTTTTCTTAAAATTGCGAAATTTTCTGAAGGGGAATTTTTCACATTCTTCTACCTCAATTAACCACTAAGAAACAAATGTGATTTTGTAGGGGAGGTGGCACAATTAAAAAGGAGAATTAGGGACAAAACCAAGATAGCAATAGCTCAAACAAGTAAGAAGTCTTTTGATTTTGCATTATCATTGTAATTCCATCTCTTCCTAAATCCCTAGGCTTTCTTGAACGTTCCCTGACCCCCATGAGAGACTTCCTAGGATCATAAAGGAGAGTCAGATGATCAGTTTCCATGGCATGGAAGCTCATATGGGTTCCAATAACTGTTATTATTCCCTTGCTTTAATCTTAAGCAACGGTGTTTTTTTTAAAAAAAATGAAACTTCACACTGCAGAATTCTGTACACTTTTGTTATTTTCCATCTGGAATATTCCTACGTATATTCCAGCACAATCATTTTGTCTTTTTTTTCTTAGACAAGTCATATCTTAATAAGATTTGTTATTGTTATTGTTATTTATCTGTTTAAAAACACAGCTATAATTAGGGAATGCCTTTTAATGGATGGTGACAAGAACATTTCATCTCAAAGCATTCATTGACTATCCTTAGATAAATTCTGACATATTTTGTGTGTGTGTGTGTGTGTGTGTGTGTGTGTGTGTGTGTGTGTGTGTATGTTTTCTTGGCAAGCTTTTTCAGAAATGGTTTGCCACTGCCTCCTTCGTAGGACTGATAGAAAGTTACTGGCCCAAGGTAACCCAGCTGGCTTCAGGCCAAGGCTGGAATAGAACTCACAGTCCCCCAATTTACAGATTGATGGCTTAATCACTCCCCAAAACTAAAACATATATCATATAATTCAATAAACATGGTGCACCTCCGTTGATTTTGCTTAACCACTCACTAGCATCCTGTACTTCTGATCTTGGCTATGGGAGGTTTGGATGATGTAAAATTTGAGATACTATTTTGAAGAAAGTCGGTTCTAATTGTCCAAGCATTCACAGATTATGGAGTTGAGGGAGTAGCTTTGCTCTGTGGCTCTTAGTCAAGAATCTTTTTAGTTTCTTATCTCATTAACATCCTTATGAATCTGATGCAGGAGCTCATAAGCTTTTGGAGCAGGGCTACAAGAAATTGTCTATGAAACTAATTATTTTCAAACGATACCAAGGTGTCTACAAAATTCTTAAACAATACAAAAACTAATAATGGAACTGGTTCAGTCCTTCCACTGCTCTCCCTGCATTCCTAAATATACTCCAGAAAAATGGGATATTTCTAGGGCAGATTTGGAAATACAGAGAGTTGCAAAGACATTCTATTTTAGGTTTGTTTAAGTTCCTTGCTTAATCTTCATTCTGATGTAACTGAACTGAGTCGTGGTTTCAGAGACTTGCAGAATTATTAGCAGAAAAAATTGTGTAAGAAAGAACATTCTTGGCCTCTGGTAAGATATTAGGAGGATCAAAGCTCGAAAATAAACCTAATCTATTTAGATGCTTGAAAATAAGTGAAATCCCTTAAGTGGAAACTAGCTGATGTTTTGTCCAGTGGGATAAAGTTCCATTTCTGACGTCAGCAACCAAATATCCAATCAGTAGCCTCAATCTTCTTAAAAACATCAGCGTTGTCTCTTAGATGCTAGTTAGAAAAAAATGATTGGAGCCCAAAGATAACATTTATCCTATTCAGATTCCCCTTGGCAGGATTTCACAATGCCTGGCCTTTAATAGATACATTAGAATATACATGTTACACTTCTAAAAAAATAACATATTAAGTATAGCTTTGATTCAAATGCCTTCTCGTTAATGGATTTGTGTGATTTACCCAGTTCAGAAGGACTTTGGGTGTTCCTTCTAAAACCCTCCCCTTTAATAGCACACTTGATAACTGTCTGTTATTATTCAACACTGTTACTTCTCAGCAGCAATTCCGTTTTTGTCTGCAGATGTGCCTGAACATATTTACAGAAATGGCATCACAACTGGTGTTCTGATATAAAAATAACATTAAAAATCCAATTTTCATTTAACTGCACGCTTATACATGCAAAACTAATTTCCAGAAATGAATAGGATGTCTTTCCCTCTATACCAGGGGTGTCAAACTGGCACACCCATGGGCCGGATGCTTCACACGCATGCCACACCTACCCCAGCTCCACGAATAGGAAAAATGTCACAAAATGTCATATGACAGCAATGTGATGCTGCAAGTTTGATACCCATGCTCTATACATCTCCACAGGTAACTGTAACAGGTGCCGTCTGTCAGGCAATGTCGGCTGGCAACCCCCCGGGGAAGAGCCTTCTCTGTGGGGGCACCCGCCCTCTGGAATGAGCTACCCCCAGGGATACGACTAATCCCGGACCTCCGGACCTTCCGCCGGGCCCTGAAGACTTTTTTATTTTAGCAAGCCGGGCTGGGTTAAATTTTTAATTGGGTAAATTTTATGGGTAAGGGGTTTTAAATTGGAGAAGCCAAAGATAGTTTAATTTTGTTTTAATGTATTTTAATATTTGTATTGTGTGTTTTTAATTCTGGCTGTTCACTGCCCCAAGTCCTTCGGGAGAGGGGGCGGTATAAAAATTTAATAAATACTAATAAATACTAATAAACTAGTGTGAAGTACCTGTAACTGCAACTGTTCATATGCAATTGGGCATTTCTCGAAAATTGAGTGAAACCAATGTGTTTCCTTCCGTGAATATACATCTGAAGGAAGCTTCAAATTTAACCTAAACTGCCTAGAATTCAAACTGGCATAAGAATAGACTGGAATAGATCAAGAATCTATTAGGTTTATAAACAAATAATTTCAGTTTTTCTAAATGACAGAACATCCCTATGAAATAAATTTAATAGGTGTCTGAAGAGAGAGAGAATACCTAAGACATTCATTCCATCCTTAAACTCAAGACCCTTCTTAACAATTAATTGAGGCTCTGGAGTAACTTCTGTTTCATTCACGATGGTAAAGATGGAATCTGTAACATTAGATGGTTCTTCCATTTCTTGCGGCATGAGGACTTTTTTGGTAACTGTTTGAATCTGAAAGAATAAAATGCAGAATGAAAATGCAACGGGGAAATTGCCTTTTAGGTACTGTTTTTCCAACTTCATACCAGGGCTTACTCTTAAAACATATTCCTGGATCTATCATTGCAAAACACCAATAATTGTCTGTTCCATATGCATTTTTAAAGACTCTTGAATACAGCCGCTTTATGGTGAGATCTAGAAAATTAAATAAAATAAAGATACATGATTTCTACAGATATTGGAGATATTTCTTCAAACATGAAGATGCTACTTTAGAAGAAAATAATACTCATTCCCAAATCAGGTTGGAATTGTGTAGTAACAAATCCGGGTAAAAGAACAACCACCTCCATATTTGTTTATAGGGACATCACCCCACAAAAAGTTATTTGGATAGCTTGCAGAATAAAAGGATCAATATTTTAAGTTTATATTAAAAGTAAAAAAAAAATTAAAAAGGTAGACAATTTTATATCTAATATATCTTTGTGTCAATATGGGCATGGAGGTTCTATCAATGGAAGCTTTCCAAAATTGTCCAATCTCTATTTTCTAGGTTCTTCATTGTATAGAAAAACTTCCACTGGATAGATCTTCAGAAGTATTCTCTTTATACGAGAAGAATAGTAAGCACAAAGAGAGAATAGAACTATTGTGTAGCAATTCTTTTCTCTTCCTCTCCTGGTTATTTTAGAGTGAGTGAAAGCTAAAATGTCAGTAACATCTTCAATGTGCTTGTTTTTGTTCACTATACATTTTATACCCCAAATTCTAGCTAGTACTCCTTGAAATGTTTTAGGACAATATTCAATTTACGGACACTGGAGTGTTTAGTCCCTTTAGCTGAACTAATACAACATATCTGGCAGGTCCCAGGAGGTGTATCTTCTATTCCACAATGCCTGACATGTGAAGTCCCAGAAGTGAGATTAGCTCCATCCCTCTCAACATTCTACAACTCTTTCAATCCAGATTTTTTTAACTTCTGGGCCCACCATACATGGAAGTAGGTATCTTGTACTTATTTGCATTTCCAACAGTTAGGTTTTTGGTTGGGCTACATTTTTGCGAGTTTTGTTGGGGCTAAATGCCACTGATAGAACATTTTATACTGGTTTTCTTTATATGCAGCAGATTTTGTTAATGTATAGATTTTCTCCCAATTTTTTTCCCAATCTTCTAACTCAATATTTTGTGCTCAATATTTTTATCCCATGCTATCATTGATCCCTTTACAATTTCTTCTTCCAAATCAAAATTTAATAAATAATTATGTATTTTAGATAGTAATTTCTTTTCTGGGCCTGTTATTAATTTATCTAATTGTGTAAATTTCGGTTCAAATCCAAATTCCTCTAAATCTTTTTTGTATCTAGATTGCAACTGAAGATACGGCCACCAATCTATGATTATTTCTACAACTCTTTCAAGACCTGGCTATGTTATCAGGCCTCAAGGGACCAGTGTTCTGACCCAGGGAGATTTTGCTATGGCTCCCTGATTGTGGTAAATATCACTCTCTCCTGACTTATATGCATTTTTATAGTTATTTGATCATTGTAACTGCTTTTATGTATCCATTGGTTTTTTAAAAAATGTAGTGCTGCATGCCACCCAGCATCACTTTCATGTGAGGTGGACAGGTATACAAATATGATAAATAAATAAATAAAGCAAGGGTACATCTGTGTTTAGTTTGCATTACTTTTCAAGAAACTCCAAAAGTTTCTCGATACTGTTTATATAATTTATGATGATAGGATGGCAACTATTTTTGCCGACTTTTATGAATCAGAACATAAACACCATTTTGAGGGCTTCTGAAGACTATGACACTGATTGAAAACTTCTGTTATTGAAGTTTTTCTTTAAGTCTAGTTAAACCTACAAGTATGGTCATCCCAAAGTTGCTTTTTCAGGAGGCAACTGGACTTTCTTGTTGTTGTTGTTTCTTTTGAAGACGTTTCGCTTCTCATTCAAGAAGCTTCTTCAGCCCTGCCAGGATAGTGGGGAATGGAAGCTTCTTCAGCTCTGACACTATCCTGAAGAAGCTTATTGGGTGAGAAGCGAAATGTCTTCAAAAGAAAAAAGTCCAGTTGCCTCCTGAAAAAGCACCTTTGGGACAACCATGGTCTGGATGACTGAGAATCTCTACAGACTACAAGTATGGTCAAATTGAAAGTGAAAAATCAGCTTCAAGTTACTCTTGACCTCTTATCATGGGCATAACTGTGAGAGATGGTGCCTACAGAAGAGGAGCTGACCTGATGGGCTATAGTGAAATGACAAGTTTCCCAGGAAGGAGGGAGCACATCCCAGAAAGGGGAGGAGACAAGATAGCCCAGCCCAGAGGTGGATAGGAGACAGAAGAAAAGAGTAAAGATAGCCACTTCCTAGTATCTTCCAGAGCATTATCTATATGCTGGGAGAACTAAGGGTTTAGATTCTGACTGTTGAGTGTAAACAAGTACAGGTAGTTCTCAACTTACGACCATATAAATGTATGTTGTTATGTGAGAAATTTGTTAAATGAGTTTTGTCTCATTTTATGACTTTTCTTGCCACATTTGTTAAGTGAATCACTGCAGTTGTTAAATTAGTAACATGGTCGTTAAATGAATATGTCTTCCCCATCGACTTTGCTTGTCGGAAGGTTGCAAAAGGTGAACACCAGGACACTGCAACTGTCATAAATGTGAACCAGTTGCCAAGCATCTGAATTTTGATCATGTGACTGGCTGCAATGGTCATAACTGTGAAAAATGGTCATAAGCCTCCTTTTTCAGTGCCGTTGTGACTTTGGACAGTCGCTAAATGAACTGTTTAGTTGTTGAGGACTACTTGTAAAGTTTAGTAGTTGAGAACTACTTGTAAAGCACTGGCTGAATTGTCTCACCTTGTTCTTGGACTTAGCTTGGCAATAAGTATTTTCCTGATAACATAGTATAAGCAACTTATAGCTGCTTTCTTTTAGATTGGCTTTCAATTCCCCACTTTGGCCTATAACTCTGATATTCTTTGAAGGTGTCCCATCCAATATCCCAAGACACCTTCCAGGGCCAGCCAGGCGTTGTTATCTGCTGATACCATAACTAGATTACACCTTCACAAATAAATAGGTCAACGAGCGGCATCTGTCCAACCTATTTAAAACGTACCAGAAAAGAAGCAAGCAAGCTACTGTAGTAACTAAAATGCAAAAGCACATTTGATATGATATTCATCACAAATGATTTTACTTCTGTAATATTTAAATAATTAAAATTCTGGAGCTAACTGGAGATCGAGCTGCAACTCTGTTTCTAAGATATTACTTCTTCATTATTTGCTCTCCTGAAAACAATGAATAAGGCTAACTTTTCAGTACAAGAAATAATCTGGCTGGGCATTGGAATAAACTATCACAGATTTTGATTAAGGACCAACATTCAATGAGAATGACTCAAGTCTGGATCCAAAAATATTTCTAAATCACAAGCAGACCTGGTTAAAAACATGGAATAGGGATAGTGGTAGAATGACCTATATGTAAATGGCACCTCGGGAAATACACAACTATAATGAAGGACACAGTGGTGGGATGCAACTGGTTTAACAACCGGTTTGGTAAGCACATGCTTTGCACGCACATGCGCGCAGCGTTCAAAATACAGCAGTTTGAAGCTTAGCTGCTTACCTTCTAAGGCAGCGCCAGTAAGTAGAACAGTGGAGGCACGGAAATCAGCTGTGCCGCACGAATCAGTTGAGCCAGAAAAAAGGAAATATAGGACAGGATAGGGCAGGGGTGGGGTCAGCCGATCGTCGGAATTACCGGTTCGCCCGAATGGATCCGAACAAGCTGAATACCACCCCTGGAAGGACACTCATACATGTGGTTATTTGTGCCTTGAATTGATCTTTGCTTCAGCATACGCTCCCTCATTCCAAATCTTCTACAGCATTTAAAAGAGCAAAGGAGAATCTTCTTTGTCATGTATTACTCAATGCTCTATTTTCTCAAAAATTTAATTAGCTTTCTTTCTGTTGCCAGTTTCTGTTCCTCTGCAGATTTAAAACATTTATCTTATGTCATGCAAATCAAACTCCTCTTTCCTTTGCAAAAACACTTTTAGTTCCTTAAAATGTGGTCTCTTCTTTTGGATTGACTCATATTGTTTTTTGGTAGGATTTGTTTTGCTTTCTGTATTACTGTCACTCTTAAGTGACAGTAATACAGATATTACTTATACAATAATAAGTGTTAAGTGTTTGTGCAATTCATTTATTGTTTCCATTTTAATTGTTTGACGCTTAGAGAATTTATTGTGTGAATACAGATCCATCAATCAAAGCTGGTGTGCTAGTGGGTTAAAATATCAATAACAGGAATCTGAATAAATAGGAATAGGATACATAGGAATCTGAATAGTGAAGCAAAGAAAGAGTTGAAATGAATTGTTTGGAAGAATAATATAACATTATGAGTAGCAAACAATTTAAAAAAGAAGTGATAATGCTAATACAGTATAAAGAGCAGCTTGCCTTGCCTCCCACTCAGCCTATTATCTCATTATGCAGCTTTTCAGGAGCCCAATGGTTTACTCACTTTGTGTCAAATGCAATTAGTTAGAAAGGGGGAGACCAGTTTAGCATTTTAAATGGATACCACTCCTACCTTTTCCCTATACTTCTTTTTTGCGCTCATTCTATGAATATGAAAATTGTGCTCCTTAATATTAGAATTGCTCAAATTTAAAAAAGAAACTTGTGTAGTTGATGTTTAACTTCCAGCTCGGCCTATTAACCCCATTTTTTTTCAGCATCAAATAAAATATAATGTACTGAAAGGAAAAAAAATAATTTTAAATATATGGGCACACATAAATACCAGACAGAGTTTTGATTGCCCCGTTGCAGCTGTCCTCTTGATTTTGGCATCCCTGTCTGGATTTGTGTGTCTTCTGCTCCTTCCCTACCCTCTAGGCAGAAAGGATAAGCTTAGCGCTACAAGTCAGATAATACACTGTTTTAATTCTATAAGCAACGCCTTTAGAGACAACTCAAAAAAGGTTGACAACAGGTCTTGTCCATTTCATTATAAAATAATCCATGTTACCACTAAACAAATTAACAGGAGAGAAGTGGGAGAAAAGAGCTCAAGGGCATCTCCTGGTGTGTATGGCACAAAGCATAGATAATAAAAAACCAGTTCATATAACCTTTAGAAAGTCATACTGATGTATTTTTCTCAGGAAAAGTCACCCCAGCCTAAAGTATTAATTCATTTGTAAGAGTAGAGTAGACAACAGTAGAGAATTCTCACCATCCTTCTAATCCAAAAACATTTCAGATCTTACTTGGGTAGATACATTCATCAAAGACCATTCAATCTTCAGAAACCAATCACTTGGCTCTTTATTGTTTCTGGCACTTCCTAGAATTCATCTAACACTTCTAAACTCATTCACTTTTTGCAGCTATGGTGACCCTGACCTTGTTAACAGTTTCAGAATACTAAAATGAGTAGCCTATAGCTTTCCAGATTTTTCTAAATATCATTGTTCAAATAATCACAAGGTATCCCAATTCCTGATTAAAAACAGGGGGGGAAATCTATATTTTTATGAAATCCAATATACAGCATATTAAGGTTAAGCAGTTTTGGTTGCATTTGGGCAAACACATTTATGTCTATTGAATCTTTGAATGAAGTAAATATTTGGCACTTATTCAAAATGTTTCTCTATTTTTTTGCCCAAATAGTGGGCTCTGGTTATAGTCTGTAGAGATTCTCAGTCATTCAGATCATGGTTGTCCGAAAGGTACTTTTTCAGATGGCAATTGAATTTTTAGCTATACATTTTGGGATGAACACCCTTTGAATGGTGTGGGAATAGGAATGGCTTTCCAGAGGAAAAAAAATTGCAGGAGCACTACTCAAGTTATCCTGAGGACACAAATAAACCTCCAAGTGCTTCAATGACCCTCTAAAAGGATGCAAATAACCAGCTGTCTGCAAGGAATATAAATCCTTCCATTCTCCACTATCTTGTCAGAGCTGAAACAGCTTCTTGGATGGGAAGCGAAACATCTTCAAAAGGAAAAAGAAAAACCAAAAAAGTCCAGTTGCCTCCTGAAAAAGCAACTTTGGGACTCCAATGAAATAAACAAATAAAACAAATTAGAATCCAGAGGGAAATTGCACAGTTTTCACTACAAATGAAGGCATCAATTTAAAAGAAGATGATTTTTGCAGACTGAGCAGCTCATCCAATAAAGTTTCAAACAGAAGCTTTGTCAGTTATCATTCAAATATGTTTTAAGTATAAAGACATCAAATTGGTAAAGCAAATGACAGTGATTATTCTGTTTAACTTATTTCACTTAATGATATTTTCATAGTTATCATGCATGAAACACACAGGTTTTACCTGTTGAAAACATGCTTGCACAAGATTTTCAGGGAACAAATTTCGAATAAGGTCCAAGAAAGCATCAAGACTGGATACTTCGTCATTCTTCTTTCCTTCTCCCAGCTGCTTCTTGAGTTTTGGATTGCCAGGATGAATGGCTAACACCAAGATCACTCCCAGGATAGCAGCAATAATTGTTGTGGACATATAATATACCATAGCTCTCGTCCCTAATCGACCACTGGCCTTAGCATCTAGTCCTGACAGCCCTGTAACCAGAATTGAATTGGGAAGAATTCAGACACAAATGATATCTTCTTGATTATTGAGAACCTGTATAATGACCAAGCATGTTTCTTATGATTAGCATTTTGCAAATAAATATACCCTCTTGCTGTTGCATTTTGGACATTTTCACTGGTCTGTATACTTCATAAGCTAATATAATAGTATGTATTTTCTCTATTTTTCCTATATATGATTTTGATATAGAAAGTTCTATGTAACAGTTTCAATAGAAAAAAAATCATGGATAAATATGTATAATAATTCATTTTAGATACCTATAAATCTCTAAGGTATCTTAAATGATTGATGTATATTAATGGGCATATAGATTGATCAGTTAAATTAAAATAAAAGTAACAGAATAACAGAGTTGGAAAGGACTTTGGAGGTCTTCTAGTCCAACTCCCTGCTCAAGCAGGAGACCCTATACCATTTCAGACAAATGGTTGTCCTCTCCAATGTTGGAGCACCCACAACTTCTGGAGGCAAGTTGTTCCATTGATTAATTGATCTTCCATGGTTTCTAAAAATCCTATGTATGTTCATCAGAAATCAATCTCACTGTATTTAGTGAGGAAATACTTCTAAATAAATGCATATAGGTCTGTGGACTTTTATTTATTTATTTATTTATATACCTGGAACATTGTTTCATACAAGTTCTTTTTGTACAATGTGATATTTTCCATTCAAGGTGTTTGTTTGATATTAGCCTGAAGTAGACTTACTATAGTAGCCTACTATATATGCATTACAAATATTCAGAAGATCACTAGATGTCAGCAAGGAGACAAAAAAACTGCAAACTTTTTGCTCCTATCTAGTGATCATCCAGATGTTTGTGGCCTAGATATGGTAGTCTTCCTGAGGTCATGATACCTTCTGACAATCTCAGATTAATAGAGGCAATTTCACTTTTAATTCTGTGTCATTAGAATCATCAATAATTGGACTCAAAAGGAATCTCTATGTTTGAACAGACAGAAGAACATCAGAAAAGGGAATAAACAACACCACTCAATGGTATTAAAAATTAATAACTGTAACATTCTAATCCTTATTCATGAATTACCATTCACTGACTCAGAATTCTACAAAGTACAGATCATTAGAAATAAAGTATCATCTGTTTTTGATAAACATAAGTATAAAGTACTGATTAACAGCATTGATTCCCCTACCCCAAGGATATGCTAGTGCTGAATTATGGAGAAAAATTATTAAACTCTGAAGAGCAGTCAGCATGACCCCAAAGGTCTTTATTTCTCACAGGATATGAAATTCCAGTTGTTCATAATATATCTCACCTGTGATTAGACTTGAGATAATTAAAGGGAGGATCAACATTTTCAACATCCGCATCAAAATATCCCCGGGGAAGGCTATCAACATGACGACATCAGGATTAATAGGAGCTGCCATGCGAAGGAGCATTCCACATAAGGCTCCCATTATGACACCTGAATGTACCAAAACAAATAATAGGAAGGAAGGTTTAGGAGAAAATAATCTGAATAATTATGAGTCTTCATCCGTCGTTTTGTGGAATTATCTTGGCAAATTGCCAAGTTTTCCAACAAGGAAAATAAGGAATACCATAACTTGTTGTGCCCACGTGACACCCCTCCTGCGTTAGCTGCACTGGCTCCCAGTGGTCTTCCGAGTGCGATTCAAGGTGTTGGTCACCACCTTTAAAGCGCTCCATGGCATAGGACCCGGGTATCTTCGAGACCGACTTCTGCCACCAATGGCCAGTTCGCTCCCACTGGCCAGTTCGCTCTCACAGAGAGGGTCTCCTCAGGGTGCCATCGGCCAAGTTATGTCGGCTGGCGACACCCAGCGGGAGGGCCTTCTCTGTGGGAGCCCCAGTCCTGTGGAATGAACTGCCCCCGGAAATGCGTAAGATCTCCGACCTCCGGGTATTTCGCTGTGCACTCAAGACCCTGTTGTTCCGCCAGGCCGGACTATCAACATAATAATTTTAAATTGGGTGTTTTAAATTTCTGGGGTTTTAAATTGAGCCGAATTATTTAATAATTTTAAATTATTTTAATTGATGTTTGTCTGTGCTTTTAATAGGCTGTACACCGCCCTGAGTCCTTCGGGAGAAGGGCGGTATAGAAATAAAATAATAATAATAATAATAATAATAATAATAATAATAATAATAATAATAATAATAATAATAATAACAACAACAACAACCAGTCAACAGTTCTCAATTTTGGTAAGTAAGGTTGGGGCCTTACTGATGAGCTCAGCAAGATACAAAAACTTATATCTTGCACTTTTCTGATTCTGAGAGGGGGATGAGTTGAACACTGCTGCTCAAATAGCTTAGGATGCCTACAAAGATATAATGCCTGCTTCCCACCTATTCTCACGAAAGGCAGTGCTAATTGGTCAGAGCCAATGAACATGTCTTCTCACTAAAGCCAGCTGCTGCAATTTGATAATGAAGTATATTGCTTACTGTGTGTACAAGAATGATACAACTCTGCTGTAAGCATTTTTAATTGATGACAATCAGAAGTCATTTACTAATTAATGCTTTTTAAAGGAATTTGGGGTAGATATCACGGTATTGCTGCATAAACATTTCAAGATGGATCTAACAGACTTCATATCTGTTGGCCCTGTGATTTTGAAAAGGCTGTCTTACAATGGACAAACATATTAGGCATATTCCTAATCACTGGGTCAATTAGCTTACTGGTAGAATCTCTCAAGAGACGGTTGCTAACTATTCTGAAGGACAGTTTTCCTAGCTCACTAAGAAACTCAGAAGCTGAACTTGGAATTTTGTCAGTTTGTGCCGGAAGCAGGTTTGAAAAGGGAGCAAGAGAATAGGTCTCTACAGGAAACCAGTTTACCAGTAATGTGTTAGAAAACAAAAATCTATTGGAATATTAGAATTGTAAATTCACATGCTATGCCCTATCATCCATCCATCCATCCATCCATCTATCATCTATCTCTATCTATCTATCTATCTATCTATCTATCTATCTATCTATCTATCTATCTATCTATCTATCTATCTATCTACAGTATCTATCATCTATCTAAAAATAAATCTTAAATCACAAGGTCTTAAGCCTTCTGTCCTTTAAAGAAATCTGATCCTGTATGAATACTAAGATTTAATAAAACCCTACAAATTCTTAGTACTTGAAAGAGTGAAACTCTCTCACAACAATATTTAATGTCTGTTTTGAATTTAAAGTGAGAAATATTAGGCAAATAATTTTTGCAACAACATAATGGGGCTGATAAATCCTATTTACTAAGTAAATAAGAATGTTTGATTTAATACATTGTGGATCTCTCTCTGTCTTTCTCTTTTATTCTCTCTCTCTCTTCAGACATGGCGAGATTTTGGAAAAGTTGCTTAAAGTATATGGACCAGATGTGCAATATATGAATGAAGCACTCTAGGGGAATTTAGCTCCTTGAGAAAGAGGAAGGAGAAAGACAACAATTGTTCAGGCCTGGGAAAATAGAAAGTGTGAGAAAGAACAACTCTGCCTTCATCCTGTTTCTCTTAAAGGGGGAGGGGCAACAATTCTAGTAAAACACATTCCTGGAATCATTACTATGCCAGTTTCTTAATCAGGCTGAACTCAAAGGCTTGACAAACATATATTTAGAAACAGGGGACACATACAAGAACAGTATTTCCCATTAATAGCTAACTGCCAATCTCTATTAACTGTCTCTTTGTGGAAATGGAAAAAAAGTACTGTGACCTATAGACCCCTGTCATTTGGCTGTCACAATTAGTCATATTTAAAAAGGAAAAAGAAAACATCCTGAAAACACACTTAGGAAAAAAAAATTGCACCTGCAATCTTTCTTCCTTTGGCAATACAGCAACTGCTGCAATAAAATCTACTGAATGATGTCCCATGCTTTATTGTAACTCAACATACTTGCTGGAGATCAACCTAGGAAAGGCTCCCAATCATCTTGCAACAGTCAATCAGAGCCAAATGCCCATGTATAAATAAACTCAGTTTCAAAATCTTTAATAGCAGGGAGACATTAAAAGTATTTGCATAGCTTTTTCAACGAACAGCACAGCTATCCATTCAGGCTGAAGTGAATAAAGAAAGACTTTGTGAAGGCTACATATTTGGCTCTTCCTCTCACAGTACTGTAATATTTTTTTTAGTTAAGTCTGGGCAGGAAGCCAAGGAACGACACTAAAATGTCAAAACTATTCCATATTTGGAAGCTGCTATACCCAGAAGGCAACTGAGAAAAGTAGATCACTGTATCGCTTGGTCTAGCCTCTGAAAGTGCACAGCAAAAGAGAAAGCTAAAAACTATCAGCCTTCTGGCAGGAAACACAAGGGACATGAATCGCCACTTCCTTGTCTAACTTGGGAAAAAGCAAGCAACACTCTGCTAATATGATATGTATTTATACGTTTCTATTTTTATGTTGTGATTTGATCCTGAATCATGGGCTGAGTGAGCTGTATATGAATTGAATAAACAAATAAAGTAAGTAACTAAATGATGGCTCTTGGTGACTACATGAAATTGGATGGTTTTAGTATGATTTATATAAGGGTATTTTGTATTTTGAGTCACTTGTGATCATGCCTTTGGAACAATTGCATGCTCTGGTTGAAATCATCTTTCTCTTTCTTATCTAGATACATGTATTCCTCATTTAGCAAGTACTTCACATAGCAAACATTTGCAAATATGATGGAAATGAACAATATCAATAGTACAGGCAATCTTTGGTTAAATACAGTAATTAGGACTGGAATTTCAGTGCATTTAGATTCGCAAGATTCTATTATGATAACTTTATAATACAAGCAGTATTGGTCTGCATGACTTTACTTTCTTAGTCTGGTCTACTTTGAATGGCTGACAAAGAGAGAAAGGGGAAGCAGAAGTAAAATAGGGAAGCTTACTGAACCTAAAATATCTGTTCTTAGGCTTAGTAACAATATGCAAGAAAATTAAGGGTGTCTCAAAGGAGACATGAGAAAGATGGGGAGAAAGATGAGAGAAGCACCAGAAGTGTTTTGGGTAGAGTTCTAAGCCTAGTGAAGAAAAAGAGAGAAATTAGAAGGAGTAGATAGGGGACATCTTAGAATACCAGAACATGCTATATTAATCCATTAATTAATTTGGTCAATATATTCTTTCTCAGGTTGACTTACCAAATACAGTAAGTGAAAGGAGCATATTTTTTCTGAGTGAAAGGCAGAGTCGTACACAGAGGTTCTTCGGTTGATGTTCCACTGGACTCATATGGCTTTCATGCATTCGTACTTCTACCTGCTTTGGCATATTGTTGGCACTAGAAGAAAAATAAAATTAAGATATTTTAATGTGAAAACCTGCAAGATATTCTACTAAGAAAAAAATGGAAGAAGTTGATTTACTATGTTGTACAAAAGGTGATTTCACTATTCCTGGAAAAGTCTGAAACTACAGTCAGAGGTCTCCTTTTTCAAGAATAATAGGAATGTTGTAATAGATATAGTATTATATTCATGTCAGGAGCACCAAAACATTTCTGGGTTGAAAGGATTGAACAGTGACATCACCATTTCCCAGGGGGCACAGAGTTGGGGCTCCTTTCATGTCCCCATTAAGTTGGCCACCAAAGTGGTACCCATCTATTTATTTGAGGTCACCCACTTTTGAACTGCTGACTCAGCAGGAGCTAGAGCATGTGATGGGAGCTCATCCCATCTTGCAGCAGCAACTGGGTCTCAAACATGAGCCTACCAATCGTCAGCACAGTGTCCTATCCTCGTGGGCCACTGCATTCCTTTTAATGGATGAAGTAGTAATAATTGATAATGTGCCTAACATGACTAGATTCTATACAGAAATATACAGTTTGGTCCTACTCACACATTTACAACATTGTTGTCTAATACAAGAAATCAGCAGAATAAAAATAAAAAGAAATGAAGAAATTAGAGATTAGTATAATGAAATGAAATGAAATGCTGATTGAAACATGATTAGAAATGCCAATTGAAAAGACAGATTCTTAGAGTGGGAAAGGGCCTTATTAACACAAGTCCAACACTCTGATTAATGCCATCCAATTAATGGAATCCAAATCTAGAAAAATCCCAGAGAAATAAATGTTAAACCTCTGCTTGTTATCAGATTTCTGCAGGCAATACATAAAGGGCATGAATATGCACCTTCTTTAGCATTGGTGAGGAAAGTTTAAAACAATTAACAGAGAAAAATGCAAAGGCTGGTGCAGTCTACAATGGCACTCTCAGTTTTCCCACCTTCTTAGCAGTTTTAATTTAGCCATCATACTGAAGGAAAATCTTCATGCACGAGGGATCCAGAAACTAGCTTTAAAGTTTAGCCGTTTCCTTGACAATCTGATCTGCAGTTTTCTTTTTCCTTTCCCTCTCTTCTCTTGGCTTGAATGCCATCTGCTTCATAACAGCTGTTGTCCCAAAACAGTAATGAGGGCAAAAACTCACTAATGAGCTTCAAAACTTTTTAATGAGCCTCAAAATAGAGATTCTATGTGCATGCCAGATATATTGCTTCATGACAGGTCAGCTCAAACATTTTGCTCCCTGCAGTGAAGTCGCAAATGATGCCCTCCTTCTTCATTCCCCAAGTCAAGGGACACATTATCCTTGGCCAACCAAAATACAGGTTATCCTTGACTTACAGCCATAATGAAGCCTGCCCAGTTTGGTCGTTAAGTCATGACATTAATAAAACAGGTTGTCATTAAGTGAGTCACCATGCTTGTTAAGTGACTCCATCATCATTAAGCAAACCCATTATTGTCTATTAGATATTTTTGCCAAAACCAAAAGTAAATGCCCACTATTGGAAAAACATCATAAATCATGGTTGTGTGAATGACCATAAATACCGGCTAGTTGCAAGTATTTAAAATTCAGTCACATGACAGCGTTGGTGGAGACAGCTATCAGAACTTAGAAATCGGGTCACAAATCCTTTTTAATGGTTGCTAAGCAACCTGTCATAAGTCAAGGAATACCTATATTTTGGTGCCTAAAGCAGGAAAGGGAACTGACTGAAGCACCCACTTCATTGTGCCTAGTGCTATAGCTAGTTAACTACTTCATGGGATAATGCCAGCATTAATTTTATTAAGAGGTAAAGTTTTATTTTATTATTATAATACTATATTCCTATTAACTCTACTTCTAAACAAATATGTTTTCATTTTTTAAAAAAAATTGTAAGTGCAATTAACAAACATAAAAAATGCAATAATGATAATACGACATAAGTTATAATAATAAATGGAAAAGAACAGAAAATGCAATGCTCCATTTTCCTATTTCTCCAATTTAAGAATACCTCAAGATCAACAGAGAGCACATCTCTTGAATATACTCTTTAACATCTACTTTCTTCCATCTATATTATTTTCTTAGCTGATCTCCAGGGCTTGGAAGAACCAGAGATATTAAAATTATATTAAAAAGTGATTAAATCTTTCATATAATAGGTTTTCTGCAGCCAGTATCCAAAATATTTTTTCTGGTAGGAGCCATTCATTCTTACAAAATTTGTAGCCTCTGTGTTTATATGAGTATATATATTAAAAATATGCCCTATATAGCTTCATAACATGAAAGAGAGCCCAGAAGCAGTGATACTGAGGCCATATTTTATAGAGAACTAAGAAGATTTCATTATAGAATAACCACTGATCCAAATTTGGACATGCTAACTATGTTTTAAGTAAGCAAAATAAAACCAAATCAGATACAATTTAAGATATATTCCTTAACCACACTCTATGTTTGGATGACATACGAATCCAATTACAAAGGGGCTTAATACGTCATGCGAATTAGCTCAGTTCTTGACACAGAAATCTGAGTGATGAAAACCAAATCTACACAAACTGTCTCTGTCATTAAAGAGAAAATGAATCTGGACTTTTCCAGATTCTCCATAAGAAAACTTTAGTCTAAACAAAACTGCATGATGCTTCAAATGAACAGCCCAGTTTAGAGAGCACCAACGAATAACCAATCTCAGACAGTGATTCCACGTATTCCACTGAAATTAGTGGCATTTTTAAAAATTTTGCTAATATAATTTACAACAAAACCCTTCCCTCATGCCAATACTCTGCTAAATGACTAATTCCCACAACACTGTCAAACTACCTAGTAGGGGGTATATTACTATTATCCTTCTCATCTTTCCTATTACCTAGTTCCTTATCTTCTTATGACTATAATTTTGTTGCTTAAATCTTACAATTTATATTAATTGTTTTATTTAGTATCCTAGTACAATTTGTGTTGATTGGTTATTTAGTATCCTATGACTATGACTATCATTAAGAGTTGTATCTTATGATTTATGATGAATGTATTATGATTATAATCATGATTTATTACTTGAGAGCTTTTGCACTGGAGATAAATTCCTTGTGTGTCCAATCACACTTGGCCAATAAAGAATTCTCTTCTCTTCTCTTCTCTTCTCTTCTCTTCTCTTCTCTTCTCTTCTCTTCTCTATTAAATAATTGAATCAGCCAGCATTATACTTCCAAGTGAAGTAAACTTTCATGGCTAATAGCATTTACTCAGGGTACATGCTTTTTGGAAGCAGATGTGGAGGCTTTCTTTACCCTTGGAAGCCAAATGTGCACTTGAGTAGCCCCTTCCTACTCTCTTGCTTCATATGTCATGTAATTTTTGCTGTATTAAAATTAATGCCCTGCCTCACCCAGTGAGAACTATGGAAAAATTCAAAGTACTGAAATAGGTATTGACCTATTATTTCAGCTAATTTATAATAAGTTAAATAAACAGTAATAAATAAAGTTATATTATTATAGCCGTGGTGGCACAATGGTTAGAATGCAGTATTGCAGGCAAACTCTGCCCACAGCTAAGAGTTTGATCCTGACCGGCTCAAGGTTGACTCAGCCTTCCATCCTTCTGAGGTCCCTAAAATGAGGACCCAGATTGTTGGGGGCAATATGCTACCTCTGTAAACTGCTTAGAGAGGTCTGTAAAGCACTAAAGCACTGTAAAGCGGTGTATAAGTCTAAGTGCTATTGCTATTGTTACATTTCCTGGGATGAAACATTTTCATTCATCTGATCATTTAAGTACCAATTAATATCTTATATAATTTCTTTCCATTCATGGGGCCTAGGATTATCACTTAAACAGAAGTGATCTAAAAGTAGGACCTGACTCCCTTACCCAAAAATCCTACAGGTGGTCTTCGCTTAATAATCACTGATTTAGCAACCTTCAAAATTATGAGTAGTGCTTATGACTGGTCCTTATTCTTATGACAGTCACAGCATCCTGCAGTCACATGATAACCATTTGCAAGCTTCTTTGCTGGCTTCCTACAAGCAAATTCAATGGGAAAGCCAGTAGCCATACAAATGGCTATCATATGATATTGCACTGAACGATGTCACTAGTTGAATGGCAACTGGAAATGCCAGAATTTAATGGTCATGTGACATTGCACTTTATGATTGCTTAGCAACAAAAATTTTGGTAATCAGCTACTATCCTTATGTGCAGACTACCTGTAGGAGAGAGCAGAACAGAATTTGAGAAGGAAGGCCACCAAGGTCAAGGAACTTTGTCAAGGATCTTAACAAAATATTTCACAGCATCTACGAGTGAGGCAGCTTCTGAGAAGCTTGGGCTTAGAAAACAAACTAAATAATATTTTGCATTAATTAGTTCTCTTTCATCTGTATTTTGTCTTAAATGACGTCTGCTTCCAAAACAGCAAACATTGTTGCAACCCTAGTTAGCTCTCACTTATTATACATGTATAGCAATATTTTTTACAGTTTTTAACAATATTTTAATCTAGGTAGTTTTTAATATTTTAATTATTTTTTTACTTGTGTTATAACTTGTAAAATGCCCAGAGTAACCTTGAGTAACCCTCAGGGTAGGTGAGCAGCACAAATATTTAAGAAATAATGAATAAATTTTGCCAATAAATTTTGTTGGACTTTTAAACTGTACAAAATGAATCATACTGAATAATGAATATAACAGAATGTTTAATATATCCAACATGAAAAGTAGACTTTTCACTTTTATGTTATTGGGGCTCAGTTTCTTTGACAAAGTGATTGGTGGGATTGAAGCACTGGTCTAATATCAGTCCAAACCAAGAGTTGACCCAGTAAAATACAATCAAGTTTAATCCTTTATTTGCTTACACCTAAAAGTTATAACCTGGCTTATAACTAGATATATCCTGAGAGATTTTAGGGTATGGCTTCCCTGAATCTCTTCCCTATCCCCATTCAGTCAGGACTGTGCCGTC